ATTTCTCTAAANTAGAAATGAAAGTTGATGTTGCTTTTGGAATAATCCACCAATTTCCTACTTAATCAATTACGACCTAAAAAAAGTATACATTTTTTTTTTAAATTGTTAAAGTAAAACATCAAATGAGAAAATGAGTTCATTAGTGTTATGAATTAACTACGTTTATTTGTAGATGAAGCTAAACGCTTTACATGTAAATTACACTTTATGTTATTTGATCGCACAACATATTTCAATAATTCATATTAATACTCCGGAACGGTTGGTTCGTCCGTCGCCGGGAGAAAGGGTTGGTGACTCCAATTACCGAACTGATCTCTTAATCGGCTTATGTAGCTGCTTTTGACTGAGTTTCGAACCTAAGCACTGCGGTGTAACCGACTAGGCCATACCGTCCCTCTATAATTATTTGATAATTATTATTTTTGATAACTTTTTTTGATCACCTCATCTAAAAGTAACATTTTGGATCAAACATTTTCTACCAGCGAGAATTTGGGAACTCTTGCCCTTCATAATAAAAAATTGTAATAATCTTATTACCGTGCGTAGATAATTAAGTTGACGGCAACAAGGACATAAAAAACAGACAACTTGCAACTATAGGTAAATGGTAGTATTGAAATAAAATAAATTTACCTAACTCTTAATTATATCTTTAGCGTATCGATTAGAAACCGGACATTTTTCTATCGTGTACACTTAACTTTACTTGATATTTGTTGTTTTGTAAATTTGTGGACAATGAACTGTCCTTCGACAGTAATTCAGATGCAATTGCGAATGGCGAATCAGACAATTGTAGATTGGTCGTCATTTTGTCGAGAGGTTGTGTTTGATGCCATGGTAGTACATAAAAAAAAGTTAGGGGGGCCCGGAAAAACGGTCGAAATCGATGAGTCGAAGTTTGGACGCCGCAAATACCATCGTGGTCACCGGTTAGAAGGGCAGTGGGTTTTCAGCGGCTATGAACGTGAGAGCGGCGAATGCTTCCTTATTCCCGTCGAAAGTCGCACTGCGATTACTTTAGTAGCATTAATAGAAGATTGGATATTACCAGGCACAACAATAATATCCGATTGTTGGAAAGCATGCAAAATAAAAAAAATTTAAAAACACAATTACAAGCTTTAAAAGTATAATTTAAAAATTTTAGGCTTACGATAAACTATCCGATCACGGTTACAACCATCTTACGGTTAACCATTCAATAAATTTCAAAGATCCCGATACCGGCGCTCACTCGAATACCATTGAATGTACTTGGCGCCATGCTAAGTGGCATTGCCCAATTACAGGCGAAAAAAAGAATTCTATGGTGGCTACTTGGCCAAGTACATGTTTTTAAAAAAATGTCAACAACGCAACGTTTATCTCACTGTAGAATTTTTTAAAAATGCCGGCGAACTGTACGATCCAAACAATCCAGAGATAGACTTTGATGAAGTTGAACTGGAGGTAGTAGAAGAGGAGGACGAAAACAATATAACTGATGATGAGATGAATACTAATTATCAGAATTTTTTTTAATAAACATTTAATAATTATTATATAGTCTTATGTATAAGTCCTACATTTTTTAAACAAATGTTCACGAAACATATTAAACTTGCGGCAGCGCCTGTGACGCATTACTATAAACTGTTCTAAATGAGATCGGTCCCGGCGGCCGTAAATACACTACATGGCTACTAAGAAAAACCAGTCGCCACAAATCATACACAATTGAATCACCATACCCTCACTCCCCGCGGTATAGTAATTCGCATTATAAATATTATAATTAAACTTAATCATATGAATTGTTACAAAATATGGACCAATATGTCAATATTTTCTGAATTATATTCATATTAAAATTATCATAGTTAACATATACTATTATTGACACAACTCGTATTACCAACCAGTTGAAGTATTATTCAAGTATGAAAATTATTTTTATTATATTTTTAGTGTCTGATTCATCAATTTCTGTGTATGACTGTCCAAAACTACCTTTGCTTGGTAGTTTTCCAAAAATAAAAAATAAATAAAAAGGCATTTAATTAAAAATTATACAAACATTTCAATTGGATTAAATATTCTATTTTAAAAGATCATTTTTATTATTTGTTTGTCGATATTTTTCGTTATCTAGTTGGCCACAATTTGAATAAACATTTATGAATAAAGGATAAACTGTTAGAGCAAATAAGCAGAATCTTTTAAGTATCATAAATATACTACTATACTTTATAATATACTAAATAGAAGCTGCTTCATAAATTTGAAAAATAACAAAAATTATTCTTTTGTTGCAAATGGCATTGTTCATTCTCAAATAAAAGAGTTTAAAAAAAATTGTCAGCATGTTTTTTACTTATTAAAAACTACATTGTATTTAGCAAAAGAAGGTGTTGCTTTCAAAAGACATAGTGTAAATATAGAATCATTAAACTGTGGAAATCTTATTGAGCTCTTAAATATATTTTGTGATGAAAATGTTAAATGTAAACTAGAATCAAGATACGGACATTATACATCTTCCGAATATCAGAATGATTACATTAAAATAATTGCTTCTATAATAAGATCAAAAATAATAATAAAAAAAAATTTCATTAATTGGAGCCTTTTCTATTCTAGCAGATGAAATAAAAAAAAAACAACGAATCAGGTTTGTAGACAACCAGTTAAATATTTTTGAAAAAGATTTAGGTTGTTACTGTCGTAACACAATAAAAGAAATGGAACAAGTCTAAAATGTAATTGAGATGTGTACGAAGATGATGTGGTGCCTACTGTTTAGGTATTCACGTGCGTGTAGTCGTACAGCAGTCACCGTGCTCGGCTGACACTCCGGGTTAGCTATGGGTGTCGAAAGGCTGTTGTTATAGGAAGGGAATAAGGATAATACCTAGGTATGAGGTGCAGACGAAGTGCAAGACACAAATACCAGGTGTACGCAAAAGGAGCCCAAAGTATGAGGAGCAGACGAAGTGCAAGACACAAATACTCTGAAATGTTTTGGAAGAGAGTAGATAGGTTTAAAAAGGAATAAACAAAGACTTTACTTTAAGCAGTAAGCCGGACAGCGACAACCGAGTACCGAGACTGATGAATGACACAAGGCACTGGAGTCGACTGATCACGATGGTCAGGTCTATTGGGTTTTTATAATAATTAGAACTATTGCCAAATTGGCAATAAATATTATTTGTTAATTCATCAGTCTCAGGCAGCGGATGTGCTGTCTGTATTTTATTAAAATAATTCTCACGATATTAGTAACGTGACACCATCACATTACCATATGGTTGAATGTAATGCGTAAACTGTTAATCAAGAGATACAAAATATTGTTATAGAAAATAATTTGGATATCAACAACTTCATTGCTCAGTGCTACGATGGAACGTCTGTAATGAGTGGGGTGTTTTCAGGAGTACAAAAACGAATTGCTGATATAATACCACAACTTATATATGCTCACTGATTTAAATTTTGTTTAATTGATTAAAATCAATACAACAGTTTTGTGATCAATTTTTTTGATACAATCCAATGTTTTTATAAATTTTTAGTCAATGGACATACTCTTTATGAAATTTCAAGTTGATAAAAACTCATAAGCAATTCGTTTAGAACGGTTTACAGAGCTAAATGGTCTTATTGGCATATTTCTCTACGTGTTACAGAAATATTAGATGTATTGAAAGTTTTGACTATGAAAGATGTATTTAAAAGGATAACATTGTAAATCAGGTCAACTGTTTAGATGAGCGATTAAGTGACCTATTCGTGGTGAGTGTAGAAAAAAAAATTTACTAATATTGACCTAAATGATGCAGTGGATAAATTTGAAAGGTTAAAATATCGAAGACATCCTCTTATATGTTTATTTTATAATAGTTACCAATATTGATGTTATTGTTTATATGAATATACCAGGTATTTTAATAATAATATTGTTATTAGATTGAGTTATTTCATTAAATTATATAAAAAAATGAAAAAGTATAGAAATACAATATAAATTGAAAGTATTGTCCTTTAAAAATTGTTAGCTATAATTTATTATATAAGTTTTTATAGGAATGTAATTAATGCTAAAATTAGGACTTACTAAAATACATAACCCATAGAAAAGTAGTGATATTTGACTATTGATGTTAGCAACATTAATTAAAATATTTTTAAAAAATAGTCTGTTAGTTTAGTTCCACATTGAGGCCTTATAGAAGTTGAGTAATCAAATTTTTCCGGAGACTACATGTAATTTTTCCTCTCAAAAAAATATAAGTTTTTTGAAGGAGACTTCCAAAATAGTTTTACCTCTATAAGATGGCAATAATTATATCTTGGTATATCAGACAAAATAACCTGCCAAAATTTTGGCACCAAAAAAATAAAAAGTTGATTCCCCTGATTTAAAGTAATAACTGAAAGTGATACCTACATACTGCTATTTTTATTACTAGACATTTCTCTTCTTCACTCCTGCTTAGATATAAAAATGTGTGACTAGCGATAATAATAACAATACAGTGCATGATCTTCAATTATTAATAACTTCTGAAATATTCGTCGTAATGAGCAATCATTTTTTCAATTAAATTATCATCTAAATAACGTTAGTAAATTAAGTATGTTTGTTATTTTAAGTTGACACCTTTATAGAGTGTAAGTCACAAATAAAATAAAAATTATACTTAGTACATTTTTTTTATTATATTCATCTATAGTAAAGATTATTGTTCTTTAAAATAGAAATATTAAAAAACCTCTTAGATTTTTTTAATATATTTTGTTGTCTCCCTCATTTGTTATAATCATAAATATTGTTTTAAAGAATGTTTATTATTAAACAAATTATAATATTAAATATTCCACTGCTATTAAATTATTTAAGTAACGACTCTTTCAATTATTTTTATTTTCAATTAGGCCTAAAAATATATTTATATTTATTTTTAATTATATAATATACCATTAAACAATAATAAAAAAGTTGATTATAAGTAACATACAATATAATATATATTAAATATATTTTTCACATTAGTTCAAAAAACTGTGAGTGATTTTTCAAATAAATTACTTAGATCTTCCTCAGATTGTTCTCGAGGAGCTAATTTTGTGATTCTGTGTTGTGGTAAAGTTCCTTTGACTAAATTTGGTATATCATTTTTAGTATAACCAAGAGCTAACAATCCATTATCAATTTTCATGTCTTGCATGTAACCTCTAATAACATCAGCCAAAAACTTACCAGCATCAGCTTCTTTGACATTACTTATATCAGCACCCAGTAGTTTAGCTCCTTCTAAATGGCGTGATGGGCTAGCAGATGATGTAAATTCAAAAACTGCTGGACCAGACATAATGACACTTAATCCATGAGGAATAATAGGATGATCAGTCACATAGTCAGTAGCTTGATATTCTTTTACATTACCAGAGATAGGATATGAAAGAGCATGGCATAAGTGAACACCAGCATTACCAAAACCAACACCAGCCATTGTTGAAGCTAAATGCATGTTTGAACGAGCCTCAAAATCTTCAGGATCATAGACTGCTCTTTTGAAATACTTTTTAATAATATCTAATGCATAACGAGCCCACACATCAGATATAGGATTACGTCCTTGATATGCTGGTCTTAAAATTGGATTAGTTGGTCGTGGCATTCTTTCATTGTAAGGTATAGCTGTAAATGATTCTAGAGCATGACCAAATACATCAAAACCGCTAAATGCACACACTCTTTCTGGCTGACAAAGTGCATGTAGCGGATCGACTATACCTAATGTTGGCCTTAGTGCTCTATTAGCAATACCAGTTTTTGCTTTAAGTTCTTCAAAATCAAAAATAGAAACACCAGTTGTTTCACTACCTGTACCAGTAGTAGTTGGTACAGCAATTAAAGGTTTTAACGGTACAGTAACTGGTTTTCCTTTTCCAATAGGAGGATTGACATAATCCAAAAATTCAGAATTTGGATCTGAATAATATAAATTAGCTGCTTTGCATGTATCCATAACAGAACCTCCACCAACTGCAATAAATGCATCAAACTGTAAATTACGTACATACTCTGTAGCAGCTCTAAGACTTTTTTCGTTAGGCTCAACTCTGACCTTGTCATAAAGGTCATACTGAACACCATATTTTGTAAGTGAGTCAAGAACAGCTTTGACAGGTGACAAGTTAACCAGATTTGAATCAGTCATAACACATACACGTTTAGCATTCATATTAACCATATCCATACCCAATTCTTTGGTAACTCCAGGTCCATAGCGTATTGTAGAACATGCCATTTCAAAAGCATACTCTTTTTGATCAGTGTTAGTACTAAGTCTTGTGGGTAACATACCTAAAGTAGAATGAGTAGGGCATCTACAAGAAATAGAGTTTAATGTGTCCATTAAACTAATTACTCGGGACCTCATTTTTCTTTTACTAAAATTTAAAAATTATCATATAAAATTAAAAATTAATAAACGTTACATGTAGTAATACATACCTTTTGGTAACTATTTTTTTGTTATTTAGTAAACAACCCAGTCGTTCGATGTTAGTTTTTTCAATCAAAGTTCATTAGCTATAAATTTTCTTATTGTTATTACATTTTTAATATATTCATTGACGTACATAATAACGTATTTTTCTAAGATAATAATATTACCTACGTAAATAGATAACATTTTTATCATTATCAACAAGTGTGCTAATTAATCAATTGTGAACACAATGAAAAGGGGGTTACCAAAGTGTCACGAATTTTTCTTTCATTAATTGAACATCCAAATCAGGGGCTATTTTGTGTTTTCTACTACCTTACGAGGGCGCGTATCAATCAGGATTATAATAGAAGGAATGATGATTTTTTTTGTAAAACACTTATTAATGCAGAAATATTGATAGGAACGAAAAAATTAGGTATTGTACTATGGAGGAGTGAGATTACATGGGACAGTATTGTATAGAAATTAACTAATCTCGAAATTTATTACCAAGGAAAATATTTGTCAGAAAAAGTATTATTACGTATCATACTTTTATGGAATATAATATTAAGGAAAATATTTTTTTCAAAAAATGATAACTACATATTATATTTTCACGTAATATATCATGAGGGATAATATTTTCTGGGAAAGTATTTTCCCGTATTATATCATCATGGAATACATTACTTGGGGAAATGCTTTTCCGGAGGAATTATTATAAAACATTATAATATACCGTCCTAATACAATATACTACTATTAAAACTGCCATAATAGATTACAATTTAATTGATTTATATTATTTGTCTCGTGTTATATCTAAATATATGATAAATAAAGGATTTTATGATTTATTAATAAATATAGATTTGCTTGAAAAGTAGTGTTACGGCGAAACTATATAAAAATGGGCCCCCTCCGTCATAACATAATAAAGGGCGGAAAATTTTTAAATGTCTATAGGCAGAAAATATGTGAGTACGCCCCTGCTAATAACTAGTTTATTTATCTACTAAAATAGTAAGATATATACCATATTGTAACAATTTTTTTTTTAATTTAAAACACCAATGTAATATATAATAATAAATAATCCCTTTATTTTTTTGAAGATAGTAAGCTTAAAAACTGAATAATGATTAATACATAAATACATATAGACATTTTTGTTAAATAACAATAATGAAATCAAGAGAAGTTTGCACATGTACTAGAAACTAATAATTAATTAACCAGTACTAACATAGTAATGACTGGCTTTTTGTGCAAGTACAAAATCAAAACAACTAATTTTTTGTTTTAATTTTTGAAAAATAGTAAAAATAACACTCTTATAAAGGATGAATTAAAAAAAGTAATTAATAACTCATAAACAAAGAAATATATTAAATAAAAAAATACGTAAAATAATCTTCTCAAAAGTTACTATTTTAATAGAAATCGAGTGATCGCATATTAAAATAATCGCTTGTATTCATATTAAAAATCAGTGTAATCTGAAATGTAAATAAGAAAATTTGCATAAAATTTGAACTAACGAAAAATTTTTTATTGAGGTGTAATCTCATTTTTCTCTTTTAATTGTAAATTTTCGTTATCCCGTACTCTAATACATCAAATGGCCTTATCCAGTATTCTAACGAAAACGTCTTTTATTTTAGTTTTTCATTAAAACCTTATCGTATTTAAAATTATTTTTTTCTTTTGATCTATGTTACCATAATTTTTAAAATATTTTATCTAATTTACTATTATGTTCAGAAACTTTATTTGTAATCTTTGCTAGATAATTCATATATGAGTAATAATAATTATCTATTCCCGACAAAATAGACTTCATTAACAAAAGTTTGAGGGACACAACTTAATCCAATAGGCACGCGTAAAATTTAAAATGCTCTTTTTGGTTGAAAATCAAACATCGTACTTACTGTTAACTCATTGAAAACACTTTGAAATTAACACTAGATTTTAAAAACGATGACGAAATTTATTAATCTTATACAAAAGATCAGAAACAGTGTTCGGTAATTAAATCCGTTATTAATGTAAATGAATAGTAATTGAATTTTTTTTATCCTTAAATATTTTAAGATAAGAACTTATAAAACACTCTTTATAGATGAAGAAGTCAAATCAACATATTTATTGGTCAGTCGTTCAAGTATTTTTTTTTACTTTTTGTAATAATTTGAGAAGCTTTTGCATGTAGTTATTAAACTGACATTTCATCAAAAGTCTTATGATATTTTCTTACATCTATAGCTTATTGAATTAAAATATTGACCATAAATTATTTCTAAATGTTTAGCAAAAACATAATAGATTTTTAGTATTATCAACACATAAATTGATGATATTTTTATGACATAATAAAGTAATTGCTATATGGAAATTTGAGAAATTATTATAAACATCAGAACTCATAAAATGTTAAAATACAACTACACCAGAGTACAATAATAACATTCTATTCTCAACAGGCTTTACAGTTACAATAATTAAGAAGTTATGGTGGTTTCCTTAGAAATTCTGATGGTATCCTTGGACAATTAATGTTAACCAAAACTTTGAACATTTTCAGCACTGTGCTGTAACTGATTCTCATACTAACTTTTTTTACTTCTCCTAAATTTATCAAATGCATGTATTATACTAAAATACTTTGCACAAAATTTAAATTTGGAATTATTGTTGTTAGTCAAGTTTGATAGTCTTCATCTGCTTGCTGCATAAATTCATCATTAGTACGTAGAGGCGCATCAATGTCACCAATGAACCTTCTACTTTACATATGGTGCAAGAGTAGCCAGTATGATTTTTGATTTGTAAGCAATACACTTTTGCTGGACACATCAGCAATAAAAGTAATAAAATAATAAAAATAAGAATAACTGATCCCTTAATTGGTCATAGTTGGCTGAATGATGATATAAAATTGGCAGACTATCAACGTGGAATTCTATATTAATCGTATCATTATCGAAACAGAAATGTTTAGTCTTTTTAAAATTGAAAAATATCATTTCTAGACCAAAGTGATTATAGAGACTAGTTTCAACTATTCTGGTGACCGTTTTCTTAGAGGTAAATAATAATGTTCTAGCATCAATGGGTATTTTTTTTATATAATTTACATAATTTTCCTATAAGAAAAATAAGTTTAAATATAAAAAATTAATACCATGATCATTATTTATCTGATGATTTGTATAATACACATAACTGAATGAATTTAGGTTTATTAATTCATATGAAGAATAGGCTGACTATTCATCATGGTAAGTTGTACACATTAAAAAATATAGTCAAACTATATGTTTTATTTGTACAGTTAAAAAATAATTAAAAACATGTATGTTTTTGCAGCAAATAATTAGAATCAATTTTTTTTCTGGAATTTTTAAGATATTTTTTATTGTGAAAGTTTTCTAGAATCAGTTTATTATTTCCAATAAGAAATATAAAACTTTTAGATATTTAACGTTTTTATAAAATTAAAGAATGAGAAGTGTTAAAAAAAAATCTTACCTAAATAAAAATTAAAGACTTTAAGTTGTTTTTTTTTTACTAAAAAGTTAACATTTTCTCATTAGACAATATAGATAATAAAATTTAAAATGTTTGTATTTCTAAAAGGACATAATAATAGAATTCATAGGACGTACTTCATCACTGTATGTAATATATTAAAATATTGAAGAAAAAACTCTTTTTATATTAATATATTTAATTAATTGGTTAGAATTATAACACCACTAATAAACTAATCCAACAAAAAATTCATTTTTAATTTTTTTAAGAGTATATGTAAGATGTATAAACACAATCATTATAGTTAGAAATTCGACGAAATTTTAAAGGGTCTAGTATTAATCGATGATTATTTAGTAATTTCAGTTAGTTAAGTAACTTACGGTAGATTTTATAGTATATTCAAGGAGTTGAATATTCACTAATCGCCTCATATGTCGATCTGACATCTAACTCAATGATTTTTGACAATTATTGTCAAAATTGATTCGTTTAGAAATTAAAATAGTTTTAATTACATATTGAAAAATACTAAAAATCATAATCCTGTAGGACTTACAAATTCGCCATTCTATTCATGAAAATTTTCATCTATTCTGTAACCTAACCTAAAAATAGCAGCCATATTTTTTAACATTGTTTACATTATGAAATATGGTTGTGCGACAATTTAAAAAATATCATTGTTTGTTAGTCAATTTCCTTTATTTAAAGTTTATAAACCTTTTTAGACATACATATACGTCTATTGTATTTTCTACACGTATATTTGTCTATGTATACATATAATGCATGAAGTCAAGTTAGTTAATTTTATTTTTAGAATTTTTTATTAATTTGACGGTACCGATGGTTAGCGCAAAGAAATGATATGACCAATAGATGTTCAACTGATTGTAATGGTAATGTTAATTTATTTTATAGTACTAGTTAAACCTGTTTTGATTGCATAATCAATTTTTAAATAAAACTATATTTTAGATATCAAAAGATGAATTTGAAAATTGAGAAAATGTTAAGATTAATTATTGACATAAAATTACGTTTGAAAAATAATGGTAGTCATACTTTCAATTACAGTGATGATTCTATAATTAGTGACTTAAAGAAACAGTATAAAGTATTATTTTCATAAAAAATCTTTAAGGAAACTGAAGACTTATAATTATTGTTTCAAGATGATGATCTCTTCATAACTAATTTGGTAATTTTTAGAACTTATTGTGTATTTATTCAATTATTACAACATAAGTGTATTATTATTTGAATATGTGATTGAATTAGCTTAGATTTATCTAAATTATATTTAAATATTTTTTCTTGCATTTAATTTTTGGGAAATAAACTTTTTTTAAACTTAAAAAAAATTAAAAAAATGTTTAAATTTATCATTTATTAACTGTTGACTGTTAATTTATCGACATTTATCTTACTCTACTAAACTTAACTTAAGTTAATTACTTTCATTAAAGTTTCCATCTTTGCTAATTTTAGCAGCTTTGATGCAAATCTGAGAAGGTATTAATTTTACTATGATGTGTTTATTTTTGTATCTGTTACCACTTTTTCTCAGCTCTCACCAAACCCATTTTTTTCAATGATATGTCAAAAGATCACAAATTGTATCTAATTAAAGGCATTACCTTCAAAAATTGAAAACATTTCCCCTGTTTTCCGAAAATGGAGAAAATCTCAAAAAAAATATTACAATTTTAAAAATTGTATAAGTATTTGCTTTTACGGCTGATTAAATGCTATTGCAACCTTCCCCCTATGAATATGTTTTAACTTTAATATTCCTGATCTGGTGTTAGTTTTTGTTTTCAGAGAAAGTAGGTGGCAACCTCAATTAGCAATCTAATCTCAAACTCAGTAGACATCAAAAATTATAATTTATTAATAGAAAAAAGTGATTATTTGTCATAAACTGTCAAAGCTATTTTCTTAAGTTATCTTGAAAGGTTCTTGCTCTATAGATGTACACAATTATTTTTAATAGTAAATTAAATTATCTAAAATTAAATTTATTTTTGAGATGTTCAAAAAAAAATTTAGAAACACACCACTATCATACTACATGATTATGTACCAAATATTATTATAAGATTTTTTTTTCTTATGAAAAATTAGACTGCAATGAAACACTGAATTTTGAAAGGTACTTAAAGAATTGGTTTACTAAAGCAGTAAAATTGTTTCTTAAGCGTCCATTAAAAACTTTTGATACATTGCAGTAGAATATGATTAAAAAAAAAAAAAATAATTTCCTGATTGCGTTGGTGCAGTAGATGAGAAACATGTTCGAATTGAATGCCCCACTAAGAAGAGAAGTACCTATACTTTAATTTCATACTTTTATATCTAACGTTAATTATCTTTAAAAATAATTTGTATGTTGTTATTAAGGGAGGAAATATAATTAAAGGGTACAAAGAAAATTTTATTATTTGCTAATCATTAGTCTTCAACGATATTGTTAGTTCAATATCGATATCGCCGAATTTTTTCATTTTTCTCACAATATCAATTATTTTTAAAATATCGTAATAATCAAAAAAAAAAATTGTTAATAATAAAAAAAATGTTTGAATTTTGGTCACTTAGTTATAATATATGTATTATTTGATATTAGTCCAAAAACAGTTCATGATAATCTTGTTAATATTTTTTGTATTTAAATATATTATGAAATATAGAATTGAGATAAGACAAAAAATGATATTTATTGATACAAAAGTTTATTTTATGAATAGGTTTTTTTATGACAGTGTTTTTATTCTTATTTTTAACAAAACACAAAGTAATGTATGAGGAAAATTAGAGAAAGAAATTTTAAAATTAGTAGATATACAGGAACAACAGATATTAACAAGTGGTTGCTGTAACTTGTTAATATCTGAAAAATAAAATGTAATTATTAAGAAAAAAGAATCCCTATTAGATGATAGCGTTGAAGGTGATAATGTTTTATTCTGTAAAAGTTAAAATTTTCTTTTTGAATAGAAGAAAATTTGTTTTCAGTTATGACAAAGCAATAAAAAAATATAAACAGTACTTATAATCTTTTTATTATTACTATTATTTAAAACCAAAATACTTAATTATTATAATTATTTCCACTGTTCTGTAATAGTTATTATTTATCAAGAATAAATATAAAATACTGTGTGTGAACTGGAACAAAAATTTTGAGTAAATACTCCAGTTAATTTAATTTTAAATTAACCTTGAAATAATATATCAATTTGCTTTAAAAAACAGTAAAAATGATTTGAGTCTAGTTTCCTCTAATTTATGTTTATTTGCATTTTCTGGAATTATAAAATGTAGAAAAGTTACAGAATACATTATTCATTTAATAATTTAATTAATACTAATATAATTATTAATAGTTATTGGCTATAAAAAAATTAACATATGGTATATAAATATATTTATAAATCAACAGTTTTTATTATCATTTTAATATTTTATTTGATAAGCTAAATAAGTGCAATTATTTTAACTAAAATAATTTTAAAAAGTGATATTTTTATACGAAATATGAATTTTTTAAGAAGATTTAAAAGTAAATATGTTTCCATGGATTTCAATATGATTATTTTTATCGGATTAAAATACGTTAAACGTAAATTTTGTTTTCAGGAGGAACATACAAGTGCTTACGGAAAATAATTCCATGCTTAAGCAAACCCAAAGGTATAGAAACATTGTATTTTTAAGATTTTATTGTTTTAATCCCCAAATGCTAGCACCCATCTTTTTGGATTTCATATAGTTGTCAGTTCTTGGTTTATAGTCCATTTATTACGTGTTAAGATCTCAACTTTTTAGGGGATGTTATTTGGAAAACAGGTTTGATACTGTCTCATGGATATCCTAGTATAATCTCTTTTAGTATCGTACAGTGTTCTACGGTGTCACTATCCATAGTCTATATACCTAGGTTGTAGAGTCTTAGTGCTGTAGCTGAAGCATGAGCTTTAACCTCCAGGTGTAAAGGAGTTATTTCAATTAGTTCTTAACTTAAAGGACAGTTTTTCTTGTATGCCGAAACAATACAATTCTGAAGGTCATTAATGGCCCTTTCAGTACTTTTTGTTCCGACTCTAGTCTAAATTGTAGGTTTTCCAGGTCATAAGAAAGATCTACCCAGTCATTATCCCTGATTTGTTATTTTAGGGTTCCTATAATACTTCATTTAAACTCTGTTTTTTTCAAAGTAAAGCTTATGCGCCAATGATTTGAAAGAGAAGGCTCAGGGAATAATTTTTACCTTTTATCTTCTGGATCAACTCCTTTTTTTGCAAACTTAAAGAACAATGACTTCTTGGTTGTTCCTGATTTTAAAAGTAGACTCGTTATCTCTATTCAGTATATTGAAGTCTGTAGTTATAACTAGATACATTTGTGCCTCCATCTTTAGTTGATGTTACTGCTCCCTTATATAGTATGGTGAGCATTTGCATCCATACCAAGGATAAGTTCTAACTTTTTTTTATTACAATAATTAAGTAGCGCTATTAGGTCCTTGCCTGGATCTAAGTACTCAAATACTAGCTATACTGAGGCTACTATAATTGTTCATCACTTAATGTTACCACAATAGTCTAACATATGTTGTTAAGAAAGGTTTTTATTTTATCATTAACCAAAATACAAGATCTTAATATGTTAACCACATAACTATTCGTAAGGGTGTTGTATGCCTCTCAATGAGGGTCTTTGGCATACACTATTGCTCCCTTTATTGTGATGTAAATTTATCTGCGTGAATTGTATTCATAAATAATTACAATCAGACTTACTATGATAATTATTTAATTAATTAATTATATTTATATAATGGAAATGGTGAAATCTTCATTGTCTGAAACCGGCGAATTTACAATGAGCAGTAAAGACTTTCTAACATTACCTGGTACCTAACCTCTTAATGTAATAACCACTCGTCTTTTGGATCTGTTGTTGAAGACGAGGTGGTTGTTACATTAAGAGGTTGAACAGATCCAAATCAACAATCCATTATTATAACTTCTGACTCAAAAATAAATTTAGTAGATCAAAATGGTATGCATATGTCCAATGGCCATCTAGATCAGAGACCGAACAATCTAAATTGCCAAACAGACAACATACCTCAAGAAAATGAAAATTTAGATAACAAGATAGAAATGAAAACATCCCCTGATGGTTTGTATTAGAGATATTTCGAGTAGTAGTATTAATGTTTATAGATTTCGTCAATTACTGCACATGCACTCAGACCTTTAGATCAAATATGCGCATCTCCTCCTATCATATTATTTTAATTTGGTTTTTTCATATAAATGTTTCCACCAAAGTATTCTTGCTATTTTTAAACACCTAAGACTATAGGGCCTGTCTCTCTAGCAAAATTTAGTATCTCTTTGGGTTTTAGGTTTTTGATATCTTCTTTTTCAAGAAAAGATTTTTCCAAATGTTTAGATCTTAATGTGGCCATGGTATCTGTCACGTTATTATAATGCTAATTCATTATCTCCCTCTCATATTAGACCCGTCTGCATTCTATTCTCTTATCACAAGACGAATATTATTTAGTGAACAGTGTAATGTGCCCTACATTCCAGCACAATACCTTATAGTAAACATTCACCATTCAATTAATTTGATCAGCTGTTCAGTAGTGAGTTATAATTATTAAGTGAGTTAAATCAACCTCTTGATTTAACAATAAACTCATTAGATCAAAATGGTATGCAAATGTCCAATGGCCTTCTAGATGAGACTCCGAACAATCTAAATAGCCAAACAGACAACAATCCTCAAGAAAATGAAAATTTAGATATTATGAAAGAAATGAAAACATCCCCTGATGGTACGTATTAGATATGATCCAAATAGTAGTTTTAGTTGTTATAGATTTGGACAAGTACTGTCTATGCACTCAGACTTTTAGGTAAAATATGCACATCTCTTCCTATCAAATTATGTTAATTCGGTTTCTTTACATAAATGTGTTCTACCCAAGTATTGTTGAACACCTAAATGAATTGTATTATATTGTCATATATATCAGAGAATCTGATGCTAACATTTATATAGACACTTAAAACCTTCCATTCCTTATTCAGCATTGTCCCAAGATTTTTTTTTTTGTTGACATTTTCATTTAGCCACTTAAGAGATATCTCTTGGGCTGTACTGATCTTAAGTGCTATCTTTTGGTTAATTACTCTGTGATAAGTGAGCAACATTTTCACTAGGTATGGCTGAGTTAGGGGGTCTGTTCACTGCTAGGAAGCATATATGCCCAGGCCTACTGGTCCCAATCTACCAAAGACATGACCAGCTAAAAGCAGTGGTACATATGGCCATCTTCATTGAGTTAACTTGCCCCTTTGGTTGTTAAGATTAAAATTTTCACATATACCGCTGTAGGAAATACTGTATTTAGTTTTTGATATCTTCTTTTTTTACGGAAAATGTTTACCTGATGGTAAACATTCACCATTCAATTCATTGGATCAGCTGTTCAGTAGTGAGTTATAATCATTAAGTTAGAGTGGTATTTTATGGTAAAAATAATAAATAGATACAATCAGACTTTTTATGATAATTATTTAATTAATTAATTATATTTATATAGTGGAAATGGTGAAAGCTCCATTGTCTGAAACCGGCGAATTTACAATGAGCAGTAAAGACTTACCCGGCATCCAACCTCTTGATGTTACAATAAACTCATTAGATCAAAATGGTATGCAAATGTCCAATGGCCTTCTAGATGAGACTCCGAACAATCTAAATAGCCAAACAGACAACAATCCTCAAGAAAATGAAAATTTATATATTATGAAGGAAATGAAAACATCCCCTGATGGTACGTATTAGATATGATCCAAATAGTAGTTTTAGTTGTTATAGAGTTGGGCAAGAACTGCACATGCATTCAGACCTATAAGTCAAATGTGCCACAACTACAGAAATTATATTAATTTTGTTTCTTCACATAAATGTTTCCAACAAAGTATTGTTGTTATTGTTGAATACCTAAGACTATTTATAAGACGTCCTACTAGGATACCACCTATATATATATATAATCAAAGAGTCCTGTCTCAACAAAATTAAGTAACTCTTTGGGTTTTCGATATCTTCTTTTTTGGGAAAAGATTTTTCCAAATGTTTAGACCTTAATGTGGCCAGGGTATCACATTCACACATAAAGTGAAAAATTCTGCTACTCCCATTGTGCAATGATGTTTAATAAGTAGATGACCATGTCATTATATATTATTTATGTAATATTTAGTTTTGTAATTCCATATTTTTATAATTTTATTTACATAAAAAAAGCTAGTATTTTTAAGTTTCATGACTCTTATTTAGGGGACAAATCTGAATTTGAAGATGTTTTAGATAATAACACATTGAATTCCAATAAACTGCTGAGTAAAGGTGATGGTACAAAAGTATGTGATTTAAAACAAGAAACTTTTGATATCGAAAACAACAATGATTTAAATGTGGTAAGGAGATAGTGTAGTAGAAGGGTTTTTAATATTAATATTGTTTTTACATATTACTCTTAATATTTATAATGATTTACTATGCACAATGTCAGTAGAGCATGCCCAATGACCTGTGGTGTTTGCAAAAAGTATGTTTTAGATTAATATTAGAGAGATATTATTCCTATTGTAGTAGATGAATCATTAACTTTATTAGATAAAATTACGCATACAATATACATTATATAACATGTATACAGATATAACACTTTTCCCCTTTTATATTACATTCTATATAATTACAATACAATAATAATAATTATACAAAAAAGAACACAATTTAACATTATATAAATTCATCAAACCCATATTGGTATAGTTTTTTAATAGCTATTTAATTTTTTTATATTAATCAAATAGTGATTGTTACTGTTGACGGTGTACTATTATAAGTTTTTATAAATCATAATATTTTTTCTTTCATAAATAGTATTTTTTTACTGTTTGAACACCCCTTTTTGCTTGTGAACCCTCTCATAAGGGTTAATTATCTTTGACCATTTAGATGTTACTACCTCTTTTGGTACGTTACATTTTGAGTTTGTGTGTATATTTTACACCCTTATACTGGTTTTTCAATATCGTGACAATATTTCTCTATCAAAGTGCTCCTCTTGCCTCCATTTTCATTCTTACAATACTATAATGATTTTTATTTAATAGTTTTAGTACTTTTTCTTTTAGACATTCTGGTATTATTTTTTTACTCTAATTAATTTTTCATTTGAAAATCATATTTCCATTTTTCTAACTATCCTTTCCAACCAATTTTTAATATTTTTTTGGTTTATTGAAGGTACTTAAAGTTCAGTAATTATAGTTGGACTAAAGATTTTTTTTAAATGTATTTAAGCCTGAACATATTGCAAATGTATTTCCATTATTTTTTATTTTTTTATAGAACATACTATAGATAAAGCTTCACTTTGTAATTATGAGTAGTTTTTTTACTGCTGGGTGGTAGTGTACTAGATGAAAAAAATATAGGTCTTTATTTTTTATTATATAATTGTACTAAGATTGTAGAAACTCATATTATCTTTTGAATAATTAATCTAATCCTTTTTTACACATTTATTCATCCAATGCTCAAATTAAAATCTCATCCAAATTCCAAAATACATTTTATTTTAATATATTATCATTATTATTTTATTCAGTGGTGCGTACTAATTTTATAACTTTCTTTTAATCTATTTAATTTGGACATAATATTTCAACCATGATCTTCTTCCTAACAATGGACAAATACTTTTTGTACTGTCCAATAAATTCAATTTTTTATACATCATCAAGAGTATTATATTAGCTCACATTTACAGATATTGTTCCAATTAAATGTGTTTTTATTATGATTGCCATTTTTATAATGATATTGTTTACGTATATTAAACTAATTAAGAGGTTTTACTTCAATAAATCTTTCTGTCATTTCCCAGCATATGGCTATTTGGCAAGCACTTGTAAAATTAAATTTACCTTCTTTTAGTAGAATTTCCCTCAATTTGCATTTTCTGATAGGAGAAAGCCCAACATCTTTAATACAGAGTACATAATATGCTCGATGAAGTTAAAAGTTAACTTACCCATAAATATGCCAGAACAAAATATAATTATTTTACAAATATAAATATAATTTTTCAGTAATAATAAAAAAAAACTATTAGTGCGATTTTTACACCGAATATTTATTATATAATAATTTTGAACTTAGGTATCAGAAATTGAATTTGTAAGTGCTATATTACAAAATGTTTTGAAACGTACACTCAAATTTAAAGATAACATCGCACAGCCGACTAAACAAAATGAGGAAATTGATTTTGAAAACGTATCTTCTTCTTTAGAACCAAATAAAAATGATAACAAGAAACGCCGCAAAAGACGTACTGCAAAATTAAAAAAAAAAAATGTCTACAATTGCAATATTGGTGATAGTCATTCCATCTAATCACTGTGCCTTAAATATTATACAGTTTTACTATCATTGTTAAAAAAAAATATTTTTTATTGACTGTATAATAAAAATACATTAATAACATCTTTACTTGTTTTAATATGAATATTGACTGTTTATAGTTAACTATTGAAGTTGAAATAAATATAATTATTATTTATAGTATTAATTTAAAAAAATTCTCTGCGTCATCACATAATTAAATTTACCCTTTGGTAAACATAAGCATAATATATTGAATGTTAATCAATGTAAGACTTCACCTTCAATATAGAATTGTTCTTTGAGATCCATTAACTGCTGTCTCTAAATCTACCATTGAGCGTGCAAAAAAGAAAATTAATCGTCTATGTACTTTTAGATTTAACATTTTATGTCCCATATGATTATACTTTTGTCCTTTTGGTACTTGGTATCCCAAATTTAGCTAATCGAAGATATACTATTAATTTTAGTTTTCTTTCTGGTCTTCTTCAAGGCAATGTATATTCCCCTGAATTATTATCCCTCATTAATTTGAAAACGGCTATGAATCACTCGTTTCTCATTTTCTTTCTTTATTCCTCACTATTGAACATCAAAATTGCTTAATTCTCCTAAAATCCGGTTGATGCGTGCTGCTAATGCTGACACCATTTTTTCATTATAACTCAAAAATTTTAATTATTTTATTCTCAGTATATGCATATTTGTACTATTGGTATAATTTATAAATACTATTTTTATTGTAATATGCACTATATTCAATTTTTTTAATTGATATTTTTCCGTTTAAATATATAATAATAATAAGTAGAACTGATAAATTAAGATAATTACCAATTTTATACTGAAAATTTTAATCTATAGTTTTTAAAATTCAAACTGCACTTGTAGCTTTTAGAGTTATGATTTGCATTGAAAAAAATGATAGAAAAACATAATAAATTGTAAAAGATTTTTAATTACCTCAATAAAAACAAAAAAAAATCTTTTATGCTGACTTTTATAAGTCATATTTTTTTATGACCCATTATAAATTTTTTAGAACTAAGGTAATGAAATACTACGTACTTATATTTTTAAATATAGATTAAATATTTACAAACTAAAATTTTGTTCAGAAACATTAGAATCAAATAAATGCTAGATTTAAATTATTAAAATTACGTGATTGAGGAGAAATAGAATATCGATTAGTAAAAGCAGTATCTTTAAAAGAATTAACAATACCTAAAGATATTTTTAATAAGAGTTTAAGTTAAATTTTACTTATGTTGTTTATTTAAAAAAAAATAAGAAATCTATATTTTAATATATTTATATTTCATGAACTTAATTTATTTTGATGAGAATAAAATGATATTTTTCTCTCTAAAATATGGTATTTAATAATACTTATAAAAATTATACAAGTAGAACAACAGCACATAAAAGCTTATATCTTATTTGGAATCAAGATTTACATTTACAATGACGTCAAATTTGAAACATACTACTAATTAGTATTTACTTTAATAGCAGTACATTATATCTACATTTTTAACATTTTTCACAAGAGACAAAAATTGATAATATATTTTTGACAATTATTTTTAAACGATGTTTTTGTTCAAAAATAATAATAAATTTATATTCAAAAAATATTTGTTTAGATAAAATTCCGATTGCATTCATGTCAAGACATATGATTAAATCACACTTGATACTCTAAAAGATGATTGAGTTTGAGTTAACTGTACACTACCAATTTCATCAATTTTAAATAATTCTTAAATCTGAACTGCTTTTATCATATAAATATAATATTAAGGAAACAATCCAATTGAGGATGTAAATATATTACCTTATTTAATTATTTTGTATCAATTTTATGCTGTACTTAAATGTTCAATATTTTGTATTTAACTTATTATCTTACATTTTTACAATGAATGAATAACATGAAGGTTTTAATTATTATTACATAATCAACTAGCTTATTTAATATGATCTAAAAGCTGTTATTGACCAGTAATTTTCTTAATTATATCATTATATAATAAATAAACTGGATATTTATGTAATAATAGTAAGTAGTTTTTGAATATGAAAATTTATTTAGAATATTAGTCTAAACATTTTTAGAATTTTGTTTATTTTTTAATTTTTATAAGAATAATTTCTAATTATTTTATTTCTTTTAGATTGAAGGGACATTTTAATTGATTACCCCAAAGCATTTATTGAGTTATGAAGGACACATGTGAAGTACTGAAAGTTCTGATTAATTACTAATTTATTTATATAAGAAAAAAATGATAATGTTTATAAATTGTTAAAGCTATTTTCTTGTCATCTTGAAAAGTTCTTGCTATATAGACGAGCACAATAATTTTTAATAGTACAGTAAATTATTTAAAATTAAAAAAAATTAAATTTATTTTTGAGATGTCCAAAAAAAAAATGTTTCTTAAGCGTCCAGTAAAAACTTTTGATACATTGCAGTGGGAAATTGTTAAGAAAAAAAAAACAATATCCTGAATGCGTTGGTGAAGTAGATGGGAAACATGTTCGGATTGAATGTCCCACTAAGAAGATTAAGATCTATACTTTAATTACAAAAATTTTATTTAACATTAAACCGAGAAGATAATTTTGAATAGTATTTACTTATCGTGCATGATTTGATAGATACCTATAAAAATATATATATAATCTTTTGAAATGCATAGTAACTTAGATATAATTACTATTGATAAATATATTTAACTTTAATTATCTAGAAAAATAGTTTTTATATTGATATTAAAGGTATAACCAAACTAATATTATTTGCTAATCATTAGTCTTCAACGATATTGATAGTTCAATTCGATATCGATTATTATATTGTACTTGTTTCTGTTTTTGGAGCCAACGATTTCAAATTATTAATATAGATTCTTTCGGAAGAGATAGCGGCTGTAATATATTTTAAAAACTCAGCATTCGGTAAAAAGCTCTACGCGAATCAAATGTATTTCCTATTTAAAAAAGTATTACTTAAAGACGAGAATGTAATTGTTGGTGATGAAGCTTTTTGCTATAAACAAATATTTGTTGAGGTCTTTTCCAGTAAATTCGTTAAATGACAGAAGGAGGATTTTTAATTATCGTCTATGCAGAGTTGGGTAAAATTTTGAATGCTCATTTCGAATCCTTCCAAAATAAATGGATGACATTCCATACATTTATTTTGGTTTCTCCAGATTTTGCAAAGTCAGCATGTGTTCCACACAATTTTGTGTGTTGCAGAAATATAATTCCGAAGATACCCCAAACTGTAAAATGGAAGATTTTGATGAAAAATAGAAGATGTCATCAGAAGAAAAAGAAGTTCGAAAATTCTTGTTAGATATTTTAACTCAGTAGGACATTCATTATGTTGGCAAAATTAAGTTATAGTTTAAGTATATCTATTAAATTTCTATACTAGCACAATTTGCACAAAATTTCGACGTTTTAAAGAATAAAATTATTTAAAGAAAATTATAGTTAAATTTTTTCTTACTTTGGTTTGTTCTTTTTGACTCCACATATTTGTAAAAAAATATGTAGTTATTTTGTACCAGCTAACATATTTTGCAATTTTATCGCGATACTCTTTAGATTTTTAAAAATAAACCGATTAAATGTCATATTTACAAATAATTATCATTATTATTTTAATTATTAAAAAACGGTAGCACAGTAGGGTCCCCAAAAAGTATTTAAAATACTACTTATATACTTTCATTTGAACGTATTTGAAATATTAGCTTCGATACGAAGCTGAGAAGGTATTGGTTTTACTATGATGTGTTTTTTTTTGTGTCTGTTACCCTTTACTTGCCCACAAGGAGGTATTCAAAATTATAACTATTTCAACTTAACTTTTGAAAGTGTTCCGGAAACTCTGACACTTTTATATATATCTTAAACTAATGCTTATGTAACATACATTATTTTGAAAAAAAATATAATAAATCTAATGGTTTTAGTAGAAAAAAACCCAGCACAGTGAGAACGTGGCATAGTTGGGTCTAGTATAGATTTAATCTGACAGTGATTAAAATCACTATCATAAGAAACGCTTCGATGCAAATCTGTAGATAGTGTTTAATTTGAAGAAATTGGTGGATAATTACAAAAGCAACATCAACTTCTATTAAAATAAAATACAAAACCCATANAGCAACATCATCTTCTTTTTTGGCAAACACCAATTTTCCTTAATTATATCCAGATTAGTAATTTTTTTCCTTATATATTATATAATTTTTATAATTAATTGTTTTCAAATTATTATTGATTTTTAATATGTTAAAAGTAATAATTTTTAACCTAATTGTTTTTGTCCTTTAAAGTGAAAGTTAATAATAATAAAAAAAAAAATGAATTTATTACCATAACTTTTAGCTCAATTTGCAATTTTAAAATTGACATCATTAAATAGAAAAAATGGTTTTGTTAAGATTGATATGCAATCAGGAAATTTTATAAATTACTATTTACAGTAAATTTTTTATTTCATCTATTAAATTCAGGTGAAACTAAGTCATTTTTTTTTTTAGATTTATGATTTATATAGCAACATGTTACGAAAAAATTTGGAATGTTATAGACTGGTAGTAGCACACACAAATAGAGTTAAAAAATTGATAAATTTTAACATAAAATTATATAATATCAAATTTAATTCAACAATATACTTTAAAAATATTAGAAATGAATAATTTTAATTGTTTGTATGGATAAAGCTGGTTAAGCTACTTGTTATTTGATTAAGGATTTTTTTTTTAATTTTTGAGGGTAATATCTTCAGCTAAATACGAATTGTAATCATTTGACGTATCGTTTAAAAAAGTAGGATAAGTAGGGTTGGAAAAATAAATCGCGGCCTCAAAAAAAACGCATAGTAAAATAATATTAACATGAATAAAAAAATTCTTCTCACGAGGGGAGACTATAGAGATAGGATCCTTTATATTTATTGAAGTTATTGAATCTTAATGAGATAAAAATGAAATAATTAAAAAATTTTTTCTAACTCAAAAAAAATGCAATATATTAATTGCCACAGGCGGATACGAATCTCGTACCCTTAACGATTCGGCAACTGTTCGTCGCTTTCGTTACATGATAAAATTAGTAATTTAAGCTAAGCAAAGTTTAAATTTATTTTTTCGACTTTAAAAAAGCAATAAAGTTTAAATAAGTTTAATTTCTTATGTCTTATGAACTTTATTATCTCCAAGAAGAAAATGAATATTTCGAATTTTTTTTTTTCATAGTATATAATATAAGCTTTCATTAAAGATTAAATAAAACTGTGAATATTTCCGTAAAATTTTCAAAAAAAGTTGGAATAGTTAGTTTTTGTAAAAAATTGCTATTTTAAATCCTCCCCTGCGAGTAGAATAAGTTTCAATATAAAAAAATATTATTTTGTTTTTGTTAATATTTCATTAAGTTTTGGTAGTTTTAAATACAAAAAACATCACGATAGGACCTGATTTTTTTTGCAAATATTACATTTTTTGTTTAATTTCGGTGTCAATTTACTCATAGACTATAAGTTGTCGGGACAAATTTTTTTTTCATTTTATAGTACATAAAATAAGCTTTAATTTGATATATATTTAAAGGACGTAGTATTTCCGGAACATTTTCAATAATTAAGTTGAAAAAGTTTGTTTTTGTAAAAAGTTGCTATTTTAAATCCCCCCCAGTGAGCAGGTTGTGTTAGATTTTCAAAAAAATGATATCAAATGAAAGAAAAATATCTAAGCTTTTAGTATAAAAAAAAATTATGTTGATTTTTGAAAAAGTTATGGACATTTTTAGAAAAAAAGTGAAAAAAATGACAAAATTTACCGATTTTTAAATTTGTAATTTTTTTAGAGACTTTCGGTAGCCATTTTTACCATGAAGACAAAATAAAGTCCGAAATGTTTTTTCTATAATAAATTACAATACACTAGCTTTAATTTAAGATATATATAAAAGTGTCAGTCTTTCCGGAACACTTTCAAAAGTTAAGTTGGAAAAGTAAATTTGTTGTGAAAAAGTTGTCATTTTAAATCCCCTCCTGTGGACAGGTAAAAGGTCAGATTTATAAAAAAAATATACCATATAATAGGTAAAGAAATTAAGCATCTGAAAAAAACAAATTATATAGATTTTGTCATTTTTTTAAAAAAATTATGGCAGTTTTAAGTAAAAAAAATTGAAAGTATTTCGAAAATTAGCGATTTTTAAATTTGTAATTTTTTTGGAGGTTTCCCCTATTTACGGGGAACGTGGGAAATTTTTAAAATTTTGAGGTAATGTCTTCCACTAGATACGGTTTGTGATCTTTTGACGTATCGTTGAAAGAAATCGGTTCGGTGAGATCTGAGAAAAAGTAGTCACAAAAAAAAAAAAAAACACATTATAGTAAAATCAATACCTTCTCAGCTTCGCATCGAAGCTAAAAATAACTACTTAATAAAATGATACATGAAGTCATCAAGAATTTTTTTCTTTTAATGGTATATTTAAGTGGACTAAAAGGGCTAAGACCCTCTCGTTGGCTGTACTACACCAACATTTTGGTTAAAAAATTACAAAATTATTCATTATATTTAATCTTCCTGTACCACTTTTACTAAAATCTGGAGTAGCAAAAATAGCGATTTAATAGAAATATCTTAGTGAGGGAGCAATAGTTCCAGAGAGGTGCTTGGGTTAAATATTAGGACAGGTCCAGTTATAATTATTACAATTTGGACATTTAGAATCAGGCTTTAACCTTTCTAAGGGCATTTTGATAACTATTTTTCTTTTTGAGTAATTTATTAGTTCAATATATTTGAAATCAAACATTAAAATATATTATAGTGTAATATACTGAATATATTTACTGGTGAGGACAAAAATTACCTAGTAAAAATCCGCCCCTTCTAGAGGCCTTCTCTGATTCTGGGAAAATATAATAAAAAGTTTATAGGTATCAAATATTTTCTCAAAAACTTATTTTATCCTATTGTTTTTAAATGTTAACAAACAGGTTATAGGAATTTACGGGTAAAACTGTCATGTCCCATTCATACATTATGAAATTTTTTATTTATTAGTAAGATTTAGTTTTTAATTCACTTACAGCAGAATGTATAATTAATAACTCATACAATTTTTTTTGGTGTTAAAATTTTTATTTGTCATGGCATAACATTTACAACTATGTAAAAAAAATTCATCTCATTGCATTTTTATACAAATAAATAACAATATTTGTGTACAGTGTACTTAAGTTAGCTGCACAACAGTATCATAAAAATTACATTTAATGCAAGTAATCTAATAAGTAATAACAACTGTCATTCGATATGACAAAAGGCGCATAGCGTGAAGTGTGTTAAAAAATTATAATTTACACACATTATTAATAACATTATAAAATTCGAAAAATAAAAAGTAACAATTTTTAAGTACAATAAACAATTATTACAATAACATTTAACAACACATTGTTCTTAAAAATAATTAACTTTAAATAAGTAAAAAGCATTCTATTATATGAATTTATTAAATGAATAAGAATAGAAAGTGAATTATGACCAATAATATTACCATTATAATCCAAGATATGCTATTTTCGGATTGTCAACAATAATCTAAGTATATAAGAAGCATTTATCAAATAAGTTATAAGTAATAAGCATAAAAATATGAAAATTTAAAAAGTAGCTTATTACTAAAAGAAAACATTTTAACAATTATATAAAAATTAACATTGTAAATTGAAAAAGTATATATAACAAACAAGTTATTAGTTTAGGCCAAAAGTATGATAAATATATAATTGTGTATTATAAACATATAAACCTATTATATTGAATCTAATAATACTTAGTAGTTAATACTAGGTGGTTATTTACACAAATCACAATGCAAATTGTAAGAAATTCGAGATAATATTAGAATAGAACACAAAATAAGTTAGCGAAAAAACAGTCTATTTCAAATTTATGCAACAACATTTTACTTCAATGAAAATAATTTTACCCTTATACAGAATTCTCAAATTTTTCAATTGTAATAATAATTATAATAAGAAGGTATCAATATAATTCTATATGTTTTATTATAACAATAAAAAGAGTAATCAGTAGTTAAAAATAGATTAATGTCAACTGTAAATTGATAACAATCTATTGAAATTAAGTAAAATGCATTTAAAAAGGGAATGAGATAATGTAGGAATGAAAAATTAGTTACCCTAAATATAATTTTTTTTTTTTTAAATTACAATTTTCTAAAAAGCACTTAATAATATATTCATAACAAAATCATTAAAAAAAAAAATTAGGACGGTGTACAATTTTTTTCTCACTAGTGGTATATCATCATTATGTATTTAATAATAATTCTAAAAACAATGATTTATTCTAAATAATTTAAAGAGCATTAATTACCAAGAGTGTTAAGTTAATTGCAATTAATTTAAATATTGTCGGTATCAATAAAAATGGAAAGTCCGACTGGCTATACTTTCATTCTAATTTTACACAAATTTCAAAAGGAACAAGATATTAAGAGATCAACATTTTTTTTGTTTTTTATCAAACATAACATTTTAAAATAAATTATATATTTTGATAAGTCAACATTAACAAAGCAATTTTATACTTCTTTAAAAAATCATTTAACATTTTTCTAGAAAAACTGACACAGTAACTAAATTTTCATTATTATTTACTTAAATGTGTTTCAATTGAAACGAACATGTAAATATTATTTGATCTTTTTCAACAAAATAAAAATAAAATCAGTCTTTACCTAAAGCATGAGCCAGTTATCAACATGCCATTTGTTCAATACCGTTCCTTTATATATTGTTATAAATATCATACATGTATCTCTTGTTCTTCACATTTTCCAATAGTTGTGTAGTGTATTTTACGTGACGAAGTATTAAAATCAGTTTTGAAATGTTTTAAAACATATCTGAAAACATATAACACTGCACCCAAAAATGCAAATACTGCACAAAAAATAAATAATATCACTAATTTGTGTCCATCGTGGTTACCATGAAGTATTGTGGAATGAATATATTCTGGACATTTATTACCATAATCAATATAGAAATTTGGTATATTTTTAAAAACTTCTTGATTGCATTTAATTGTTTCATTGTTACGAACGTTTACATGAGTAGTTTGTAACCATTTGTACAAAATTTCAATATTACATCCACATGAAAAAGGATTATTTGATAAATCAATGGCTAGATTTTGGTTATTACTATGAATGAGATCTAAAGTTGATAACTGGCTTTCTGAGAGTTTTTGTATGTGGTTATTTTCTAAACCTAAGAATCTTATATGAGGCAAACAGTTAATGAAAAAATCTATACCAGTTAATTGATTATTGCTAAGATGTAAATCAAGTAAGGAAGATAAAGGACAAAATACTTGAGGTTCCAAGATAATACTAATATCATTTTGTTCTAAATGAAGTTTTGCTAGTTGACTTAAGTTGCTATTTAAAAATACTTCATATAAATCTTGTGAAATGTTGTATTTATTTGTGTTGGCAAATGCATCAATCATATGAAGTTCTAGTAGGTTTTCAAAATTTGAAAAAACCCTAAAAATTAAAAGAATACATAAAATTTTTAAAAGTTTTCAATTTTTTATATATATATAGCTGGGTAAAAGGAATAAGGCCAAAAATCAATGATATGTTTATCTATTTTGGAACTATTCCTGTGACCTACTCCCCGTTTATATTTTTTAATTTGAATAAAAGCTATTAGTTGTATTGTTATTTTAAATAGTAAATAAATTAACTATACTACAAAAGTAATAAATTAAGTTTCACATCATTAATTGACTAAGTAATAAAAATTATCAAATTATTAAGATTATAAATAAAATAATTAAATGTAAAACTTGCCTTGGGTGTAAACCAATCCCATTTAATTCAATTTTGTTATGGTTGAGTATAAGACGTTCTACTGAAGATACATGGTGAAAACTCTTTCCTTTAATACTTTGTATGCTGTTATTAGACATATCTAGAAATTTTAGTTTTGGAATACTATTGTTCATACCAAAAATGTTGGATGGTAGGTCTTCCAAAAAGTTCCCAGTAAATATTAACACCTTCAAAAAAGAAATGTCTTTGTAATGTTTCATAAAACATAAAGAGAATAGTTATAAAATTACCTCAATTTCACTAGGTAAATTTTTAAATACATCCAAACTCTCTTTAGTAGACAATAATGTATTTGTACAATTGACAGCATATAATTCTTGCCGATCATATGTTGTTTTACCACAGTAACAATGATTAAGTACTGGTTTATTACATCTGATTAACTCGGACATCACCGCAGAAAAATTAAGCAGTAACAAAAAAATTGTCTTCTTCATTTTCGTAAATTTGTATTTAGTCAATGCCATTTAGTACTAAGAATAAAAAAATGGTATTTAATATTACGTCAATATAATAGTCAGAAAAAAACAATTAAGATTAATGAATGTAAAATAAAAAATCAGCAGTACTACATACAAACTTAAATGGATATTATCCGTAAATCGACGGGTCAATGTAATTACGACTACTAGCTACTACAGTCTTGAATTTTATTAAGATGCATGCAAGATAAGGTGCGTATAACAGTAACTAAACTTGGTAGATCAAAACAAAAAACGGTGTGCAACTGTTCAATTTTTATCGAACAAACGACGACCTAAATACACAAACACTACTAGCACTGCTGTAGTAATAGAAGCAGCTGTACGTGAGACGTGGGTCGAGGTAAAATTATATTATTATATTCTTTTAGACTGTATTTTTGAGGTTATTTAATAAAAGGTCATGGAGGTTGACATCCGCCATATTGTTTTAAATACCGCACTTGTTTAAATTTTGTTGTAATAGTTAAAATACAATAAAAATAATTAATCTTATAAAACAACTGGTAGTATATTTCAAAATATAACTATTTTAACTAACTATTCATTTGTTCGAAAATGTATAAAATGCATAGTGAAAATGTCAATATTATATAAGTAGGTATAATTCGAGGATTTAAAATTTAAGATTCTGTAATGTTGATTTTTTAAGTCCCGTTCTCAAAATAATTTAAAAAGTAGGGTACTAAAAATTAAATTTATTTTCAAGGTGCTTATAAATTCTAAATTATATATATATATATATTTAATAAAAACATTTTGTTTAATATACTGTAACCAAAATATTATAAAGTTATTAGAATATAGATATTAATAAGATTTTATTATGTATTAACGTATACAGTAGATTAGTTTTAACATATAAGTATACTTAATTAAAAAGAGTTATTTATAGCAATAACGAGAAATTGTATACTTTTAAATGAAAAACTGTTAAGAAGCAATCAGACTTGGATGGTAGAATAACTTTAACGAAATTATGTAATAATTATTTAACTTTTTTATGCCAAGTAACTTATAAGTAATTAGATTACATTTACTTAGTAATTTTTATTTATTAACACGTAACTAAAAAAAAGTGATACACCGGTTTTGTTACTTTAGAATAACATTTATTTCATGTGAATGAAATCGCCACCATTAAAAGTTAATTAACAAAAAATATCTTAATTTGCAGAATGCTCATGAAAGTGACAAAGTAATCAATTATGTCAATTTAAAGTTACAAGGGAGGTTTTTAAAAATATTTTCGTATAAATGTTATTCTCTTAATTTTTCTCAGATTAGGTGCGTATATACAAGAGTTAAGCTAAGGAAAATTACTTTTTTTTTATATAAATATAGTAATAAGAGTTATATAATGATACAAGTATTTTTTGATAGATAGATTTTTTGATGTTCAGTCAGTAAAAAATACAAACTAAATGACAAAATAAATATACTGAGCAAAATGTTTGACTACCTATAGTTAGATTAAGAATGATGGTAATTTTCATCAGATTAAGGGTCAACAGTTTAATTTTAAATACATACATTTAAAATTTAACTTTTTTTGATACCAACATCATAATTATGATGTTGTGTCTTATTAATATATTTTCATCGTTTATGTATTAACATAAATCTATAATTAAAAATACAATTCAAATGAACCTTCTCAAACAAACTAATTCATTTAAATTGAAACAAATTGTTGTAAGCAGAGTTTAAGTTTGAAGGTTTATAATGATAAATATAAAACTTCTAAGTTTGTAAAAATTACTATAGTAAAATAAAAACACATTAATTTTTTTTAGTGTTTTATTAAAATAATACACCCAACACAAAAGAAGGTTACTGTTCAACTTCTTGGCCTTGCAACTCTTTAAGATAAGCTGCTTTAGCTTCAGCAACCCGTTGTTTGCGTTCAGCATTTGTTAATTTCTTGGCATTCCAACGTTTCTTTGGTGCCTTGGATGCATCCTTCTTAGATTTCTTTTCTCTCTTCGGATCTGCTCTAATATTTTCATGTGCTTTCTTGTACATATTTTCCAACTAAAAATTAAAAAAACTGTTTACCAATTCAAGTTATCTTATTTTAAATTAAGGGGTAAAATAAATAGATCCATATTCATTCTAAAAGATCTTAGTATATATATATTTGTACTTTTTTTTGAAGAGAAATTTCAAATCTAATATATTCAGTAGTTATCTTAAAATAAAGAGATAATTTACCAATAAGTTTTTTTTTCTGAGAAATGAACGTCTCAAGTGGAAAATAGTATAATAAAATTATTAATTTATCAAAAATATATTAGATAAACATATTAAAATTACTAAATATGAAGTATAATATTATTATTAACTATTATATTGAAAATTTAGGTAACAAATGTATACTTAGGAATTAATTAAAATTAAGGAAAAAATAATAAATTAACATTATAGAGCTTAAATTAATATTTCGCTGTAGATAGGGGCTAAGAATACTTCTACAGCCCCTCTGTCAGTCGTAAGAGGCAACTAATGAGGTTACGTTAGATCAACAGCCAGCCTAAAAATTATTGTCAAAAAAGTATGAGGAGTCCTGAACAAAACTTAGGCGGATTGTCCTATCTTAGATGTATACGGGGACTACAGAAAGTAGTTAAAAAAGGAGAAGGCCAAAGGAATAAAGTGTTACCAGCTGGACATTTTGTGTGGTAGCTGTTTCACCAGTCATGTATACAGGTCTACCCAACACTTGTAGTGTCAACAATGTAGGGACATCACCACTTAACTCAAGGTTGGACTCGTGTACGAGGGAGGAAAATAAGATAGATACAAAGTAAGAATAGGTATTTGGAATGTTGGAACACTAACTGGTAGAAGTATTGAAGAGGAGAAAAATTAACATTGGCCGATTCCAAGTAGTTGGGATTAAGGCGAGGAAGAAGAAGAGCTTAAATTAGTAAGTACACCATGGTATTACATGAAATATAAATAAGGTTTTAATAAATATTTAATCATTTCTGTAAATGAAGAATCAAGAGGATAATTTATAATTTTCAAGTTCATTTTCTATAATAGGAAATTCAAAAAAATATATAAATTTTCAATCAAGTTTACTTTTTTAGATTATATTTTAGAATGTAAATATAATAGTTGTAATATATATATAAAAAAAAAATGATTTAAGAATGAGTAATTATTTTATACCCCTTAAGTTAACTTGCATAACTTAAACAACAAGTCCATTTTTTTTTTTACTTAAAATGAGGTGAAAATGTATTTGAAGTAATCTTTCAAATGATCTAGAAGTTTCTAGGTCAATTTTGAAAAATTTGGACAAAGAAAGTTTTACTTTTATTGTTTTACGATAGTATAATTCAAACTTAAGGTTGTTAATGATAATATTAAATTTAAAGAAATATTTTTGATATGTAGCAAAATATTATTATAATTGTATTGGTATGTCAAGAACATTATGCAACATAAAAATGTAATTCAGGTTGTATCGATAGGGTTTCAATTAACTTTTTATTTGTTAAAAAGTAATTGTGAATTATATCGATTGCATATTATCATATAAGCCAGTTAGAAAACTCGCATAACCCAATATGTATAAGGTATCGAGACAAGCAAACAGGCTAAATATATATGAGCGCAAGTCTGTTCTATAGAAATATCACTTGTTTGCTACAACGTCATAACACAAAGTTATAAATTTTGAATTATTTGCGGATAGAAATAATATTGGTATATTCCTTTTAAATTGGTAAAACGACATAAGTGAACATACAAAAATAATCACTAGATGACTGTTGTGATGTTATTGCGTTATTATTATTATCACAAATTCAAAAGCTTATAATTACTTCTACTTTTAAAATAATATTGTTATGGGTAAAAATTAAAAGCATGAAAGAAGGTTGTTATAATACTCATCATTCATTAAAATAAGTTAGTAAAGGAATATAGATTTTTCACAATTTGTCATCATCTTATGGTAAATCAAATGTTCATATTTATATTATGTAGTCATATTTTTGTATAGTATTGTTGTAGTAAACGAGCAATATATTAATCTAGAAAATCTAGCTTACATCATCAGCAACAATTCCTAATTTGATGTATCTAGAGAATTGACGATTGTAAGCATCTTCATCTTCTTCTTCCAATTTTCGCATGTAGTCAGCTACATGTAATCCTAAGATGTGTTTACGGTGAGTTTCAGCACTGTATTCTTTAGATTCAGCATCATAGCCAGGAAAACGTTTAACACTGTTTATATTAAGATTATTAATTAAAATATTGTAGTTATAGATTCATACTAATAACAATTTTTAATTAATCATACCTGTGAGGAATATTAAAACCACCATCAACAGCACCTTTCATGGCACCAAATACTCTAGCACCAGTGCTGGTTTTCATGAGACCAACATCCAAGTTACACCTGAACGCATTTGGGCCTTCTTCAGCCGGTTCAACATAATATTCTTCTCCATTAGCTTCTTTAAGCCCTTCATACAAATTATCCAAACCCAATTTTTTTAATAACTATATATGAAAAATAAAATATATTAGATAAAAAAAAAAAAAACTAAAAAAACTTATTTACCCTGCGGGCAACCAATAATCCTGTACAGTAAGCAGCAGCATAATTAGTTAAACCAACTTTGACACCATATTTAGGCAATTCATGACTGTAAGCAGCACAAACAATTTTATCCCCTTCAATTCGGGAATGTGCTACCTGTAAATTTACAAATTAAAAGACATTAATTAACCTATTCAAATTATTTACACAACAGTACTAACCTGACATGTAATGTCTGTGTTAGAAAAACGAACGATTAAGCGATACTTGGGAGTATCGTATTTGTTTTTGTCTTGAACAATCAAACGTTTACGGGCATAATAGTCGGTTTTTCCTTCACGACGCCTCTTGAATTTAACTTGATATCGCTTGAAATATTGTTTGTTTTTAACAACTTTAACGAAACCCTAAAAAATTGATTAGTTGTACATTATTTACTATTTAATATAAAGTGACAATACAGATGCGTTAAGTAACCAATTGAGGAAGACTCTTAAAGAACACTTTTTATCTGGTTGAATCCGGAAAATTATAGAGAAAAATTAGAAGTAATGTTTATTCAATATTGAAGTTAATAAATACTTACCATTATGAAACTTAATTAACGCGGATATCGACGTAACCTTCTGGTCTACGTCGAGTAAAGATGGAAAATTAAAGAAGAACGATTGTGTTTTACGAGAAACAACAACCAGTGTATTGATAAGTTAACCTAAAAAGCAGACTAGTTTATTTCATGGCAAAAACAATTTATGAAATGTGTGAAATTTATTTTCTTCCATGAATTAGAATATATGCTAGATAATTGTATTATATAATAATATTTTTTTTGAGAGGAGGATAATTTCTTAACTGAGAGTGCTAAGATCCATGTAGCCCTCTTATGTCTATGAAGGCTTTCCATCTACACATACATTCCCTAAAATCTTAACTGCCTTATTTTCACGCGTATAAAAGAGCATTTTAATTGTTTTTTTAATTTAATCATTTATAAAACTCAAAGTTAAAAACTAGAGTATAAACTAGAAACTCTAGTTTTCAGTCCCCTAAAATGTGGATAAAACTATAAATAGTTATAACCAGTACTATAGAGTGGGTTATTTAAAGTAAGGGAGTTCAACAAACATTTTTTAATTGTAATCATGTTATATTAAAGAGGGTGATGTGTATTCACCCACCCCCTGACATAAATAACATAGAAATAAAGGTGACTTCCTATCTTAGATATTACCAAAATCAGATATATTTTATAATTAAGGTGTTCACTGAAAAAAATCCTCCGATAAGTCAACAAATGTATAAAATATATCCAATAAACTTTTTGTTAAATGAATCATAGTTTATTGTTAATTTAACCATTATTTCTGTCAGAGAACCCAATATTTTGTCAAATCAATTAAAAACAATTATTCAACTAATAAAAAGAATAATATTTATTTCACAAAAATATTATTGATAAAAAAATTGTCAATTTTACAATGAGTTTTTTTAGTGTTTTTCACATCCTTGTCACACCGTTAGTACGCCTATGGATAGGTTACTTGCTCTTCGACTCTATTTCCCTATGTTTTTTTATTAGTCAGTTTCTTTTTCTACTTAAAAGTAAATTTTAGTTGCCATAATTTAGCATATTTTTTTTGTATATTACTTTTAAAGTGCTATGAAAAAATACTTAATTAAATAAAATATTCATATTTAGTCATGTACTAGGTATTTTTTTAACAGAAAAATGTCAGTAATAGCTTAATATGTAGGCTATAATATTATAATAGTAGCTTTATAATAAGAGGATATTTTTAATATATTAAATATAGCAAATAACTTTGAGTATTTTAAATATAAATTACACTGAAAAATAAATTATCAAATTAAGTATCTATATATATTTTCTCCATGATACACAATTATTCAGTAAAATAAAGAAAAGTAAAAGAAGAAAATTTCGAAAAAATGGTTTGATTTTTTAAAATAAAATGTTACTTGTTTTTGATGAATGACTAAAGATTTCAGTAACGCCTACAGACAAACACGAGGATCAAATTTTGGTCCTGTTTATATTGATAAGTGATACTTGTAGCATACTACAAGACAAATTTTCTCAAAATAAGAAATAAGAAATTTTCAATTTGTAGCTTCGATGTAAAGCTAAAGACATTATCTTCAAAAATTGATAAAATTTCCCTCGTTCCCCATAAATGAAGGAAACCTCCAAAAAAATTGATAATTTTTTAATTTTTTTGAATTTAATTTTTATATAACACAGTCATAACTTTTTTAAAAATTACCAAATTAATATATATTTTTTGTTTGTAGATGCTTGATGCATTTACCTATCATTTGGTATTTTTTTTTTATAAATTTGACCCTTTACCCTTGAGAACATGTTTATAAGAAATTAGTATTAACTACATTTGTATATTAAGAAAGGGGTGAAAAGGAATTAATTCCTTAATTTTTTATTGAAAATATTGATTTATTATGACTTTAAACTTATATAACTTAAAAATATATTTTTAAAATTAAATTTTTGAGCTTCGATGCGAAGCTGAGATTTTTTTTTTACTTGAAACTACTATAACTTTTTAAAAATGAACAAATCAATAAAAAATTTTTTTATAGATGCATGATGTCTTTACATTTTATATGGTATACTTGTTTTATGAATTTAACCATTTAACTGCCCACAGAGGGGATCCAACTTTTTCAAAAAAAATTAACTTTTGAAAGTGTTCCTGAAAGTCTGATACTTATATATATATATCTTAAATTAAAGCTAATGTAATGTACTTTATTATGAAAAAAACAAATTTCGGATTTTATTTTGTCTTCTCGGTGAAAATGGCAACCGAATGCTATTTATGTGTGAAAATTCTCAATTTTATATTTTACATTTTTAACTTTATAATGCTATAACATTTTGAAAAATGTATAGATCAATACAGTGTTAAATGAAAGATGTTTATAAATAGTATTTATCATAAACATTTTTATTGATTATATATTTTTCAAAAAGTTATAGCATTATAAAATTAAAAATATAAAATAGAATTTTTTTTTACGAAAATCTTATTTTTTTTATTAATATTGATGTTATTTTTCACCTTGAGAACAGCCTTAAGTTCAAAATTTTTTTTCCATAATAAAGTATAATACATTAGCTTTAATTTAAGATATATATAAAAGTGTCAGTATTTCCAAAACACTTTCAAAAGTTGAAAAAGTTAATTTTTTGTGAAAAAGTTGTCATTTTAAATCCCCTCCTGTGGACAGGTAAAAGGTCAGATTTATAAAAAAAATATACCAAATGATAGTAATGACATCAAGCATCTATAAAAAAATTATATTGATTAGGTCATTTTTGAAAAAGTTATGGCAGTTTTTAGTAAAAAAAATGTTGAAAATTAGCGATTTTTAAATTTATAATTTTTTTGGAGGTTTCTCCCATTTACGGGGAACGAGGGAAATTTTTTCAATTTTTGAGGGTAATGTCTTCGACTAGATACGATTTGTGATCTTTTGACGTATCGTTGAAAGAAATCCGTTCGGTGAGAGCAGAGAAAAAGCGGTAACAGACACACACAAAAAAAAAAAAAAAACACATCATAGTAAAATAATACATTTTTAGCTTTGCATCTTAGCTAATAATATTAAGAACCCCAAGTTCTTTGTGTAATCAGATGGTCCACATTAGCTATACCCCTTTATAATATATGCAATATATAAAAGTATATAATTTGGGTTTGTTGAGATCCTTTGTCTATTGCACTTTTGTTTTAAGAAACTTTGGTTATGTCATCTACTAAAATTTATTACATAATTTAATTGCTAAATTTTTTTGGTGGCAGGTCCACTTTTGCTCATTTTACAGGAAAAATGGAATATGATATTTTTTTAGTAGTAAATTATAATTTTGAAACTACATTCGATTTTTGGTTGATGGATTTTGCAGTAAATTATGTATTATTGACATTAAAAAAAAAAAAAATGATGAAATTTATTTGTAAAAGTCGATTTATCCTCTGCATACAATTAGCGATTTATTAAATGAAGTCTGTTGAATTAATAAAAGCTAATTTTACAAAAATAAGAAAAATCTACTTTTTAACTTTTTTATATTTTTGTAGCTTTTAAACAGTAAAAAATAAATTACAAGAACAATATATGTCTGTATGTTTTATCAATAAATAACTCATAAAATTGAAAATAATGTTTAAAACAATATGTGTTAACGACATTGTTTGTTAATTAAAATCGTTACGTTTTTTAGTCTTTTAGTACAAATTTTGTTTTTTTTTTATCAAACGCACAACTTTTTTTTATGAAATACTACTAATATTTTATTGTTTTTCATAACTCACATGATAATACAATATTATACAAATTGTATTAACAAATTTGCATCACTGTATAGTGTCATTTATATATAAATCAGGAATCTATAAATATCCAAGAAATATATAAATACATTGGCAGAAAATGTAAGTGCGATTATAAGTTGTGGATAAATAGAGAAGTGTAATTATTAGTTTATTTTAAAGGTACCGAATAAAAAGTTTAAACAATTCAAATCGTCCATTCGTCTTTGAAATGAAAAACTCGTTCAGAAAACATTTATTCAAAGCCGAAGAATAATAAATGTTAATCTAAAATTGCATTAAACGACGTTGATTTTATTTTGTATAATGTTTACCTACGAAGCATTGATGTAAAGATACAGTGCATTTAGTTAAACAATATACCGTTCATGGCATATACTTTTTTTTTTTTTGAAAAACTTTTATAAAAATAACTTTCAAATAAGAAATTATTTGAATTTTACGATTCCGTGTCTCGCCGTCCGATTATGCGATTTTTTTGTTTTCTTTAAAGTATTTACATTAATACCCTTATTGCTATTATTTTATCACCTTATAATTTTTATTTTTCTTTCCCATCCTTATTTGTTTAGAAATTAATTTAACGTCACGTCATAAATTAACAAAATATATGTTTTGAATTTTCCGATGTTTATTATATTGAATATTACAATGTTGTGTTTTTTTTGTCTGTCGCTACTTTTTCTCAGCTCTCGCCGAACCGATTTCTTTCAACGATCGTCAAAATATCACAAATCATATCTAGTTGAAGAAATTTCTATTAAAAATTGAAAAACATTCTATCGTTCCATATAAACGGAGGAAATCCCCCAAAAAATTATAATTTTTAAAATCGATAAATGTTGACATTTATTTTTCTTAAAACAGCCATAACTTTTTCAAAAATGAGAATGAATCAACAATTTTTTATATAGAAAGCTAAGGTATTTACCTTTCTTTTGATAAAAGTTTTTTTTAAATTTGAATAACTGACCACGGGGGAGGGGGTGGGATTCAAAATAGCAACTTTTGCACAAAAGCCAATTTTTTCAACTCAACTTTTGAAAATGTTCCGGAAATACTGTGTCCTTTAAACACATGTTAAATTAAAGCTTATGTTGCATACTATAAATAAAAAACAAATTTGTGCCGACGACTTGTCGTCTATTTTTGTGTTAACGTTTACGATATTATATTTTCAACTTTAAATTGCTATCACTTTTTGAAAAATGTGTGAATCAACACAAATTGCTAGTTTCTAAATACTTTATGTATCCGACATATTTATTTTTTAAATCGTACAATTTCCTCTTATACAGAGTGTTCAAAACTTGAAACGTACGTATAAAAAGTAGAACTTTTTCAATTTAAGTTTTGAAAATGTTCCGGAAATACTTTCAAAGTTGAACAAATTTATTAAATATCCTAAAAATTAATTTGCATTTATTCATTATCATAAAACTTGTAATCAGAATATAAATAACGAAACAGGAGTTCATTTTGCTTTCGGAATAATCGGCCGATCTGCTGAGATCAAACGCTGTCTACAGATTTGCATGGAAGTGTTTCTCATGAGTTTATTTGTTTATCTTTTCTTTATTAATTAAATCTCACGACGTCACGTTGTGGGTGGACGTCTTTTGTACTAATCGGTTTGCGCATGTTCGACGGGCACGACGTGCGTTGAGACGATTACGGCAGCACATATTGATCACACGGGCAGGCGGACCTGTGTGTATGTCGCGACGACGGTGCGATCCGGTCAGTCAGCGCGCAGTTACAGCGTTCGGGTAGCGTGCGATCGGTGTGGTCGGTGTGGCACGGACGGTGTGGCGCTACGACGAACTGCGTGCACGATTCCGAACGAGTGGGGTGTGCGCACGGATATCGGCCTAACGACACAGCAGACCGGCAAATGTCGACGGACTCGACGGTGGTCGACCTGAACGTCGGCGGCGTGTTCTATACGACCGCCGTATCCACCTTGATACAGTCCCAACCGTCCCTGCTGGCCGACCGATTCAACGGGCGGCTGGACCCGTTGCCCAAAGACAGCAAAGGCCGGTATTTCATTGACCGCGATGGCGTTTTGTTCCGGTACGTGTTGGATTTCCTACGAGACGGCAAGCTGACGTTGCCCGAGAGTTTCAGGGAAAAGGAACGGCTCCGGCTGGAAGCCGCTTACTTCCAGTTAGACGGTCTGACCGAACGGCTCAAAGAACAAAAACCGGGCTACATCACCGTCGGGTACCGCGGCACGTTCGCGTTCGGTAGGGACGGCCTGTCCGACGTGAATTTTCGCAAGATTCCAAGGATACTCATATGCGGCCGAGTGGCTCTATGCCGGGACGTGTTTGGCGACTCCCTCAATGAGAGTCGGGACCCGGACCACGGGGATACGGACCGATACACGGCTAGGTGAGTTGCTACTGGGAAACCAGCTGGTTGATTCATATTTGATGAGCAGCAACACGTGTGGTTAGTGTTTTTTAAAGCAGTTACGGCACATAACTTCTTATCACATTATACGGATATTAAGTAACTTTACTCGGACGAGTAGGCAACGGATTTATATGTATTAATCAATTTTGTTTTAGCCGACCAAGTTCGTGTCATTTTTTTGTGATATATATTTATATCTTGAATTTTTTTTTGTTTTTTTTTTTCCTGGAATAAATCCCTCTAAAGCCGTTTTCTCCGTAACAATATGTACAGTCGAGGGTTACCTGCAATTACAATGTATCAGTGAGTTTCAAATCAAATGAATTAAAATGTGTACCTATTAGTGATGAGTTAAAAAAACTTTACAAAATGTATTGACGCATTTAATGCAGCTTCCTAATAATAAGAAATAGTAAACTCTTGTAGGAGTGTAGTGGATGAAAAACATTATTTTAATGGTATAAACAATTTCACATACTATCCATTCGTTTACCGGTATTATTGTTATCTGAACATGTATTTCTAGTTCTCTTTAGTATACGGGCATATTTTCACACAAGAAATAAAAAACTTTATTTAAAGCACCCGCAAAACCCATTGGAAACAACTTGAAATTATTATTATTAATGGAATTCAATTCCAAACTAGACGAGATAATTTATTGTTTATTGAATAAAAAATAACTTCATTTATTTTTGCCGATAAAAAGTTATTCAATAAAAGAATCCGTGCAAGAAATATAAAAAAAGTGTATGAATAAGAAAACAATTGGTTTTACGTGAGAGCTTTCAATACTTCCGATACTTTTTTTTTGTAAATTTATATTGTACTTGTTTTACACATAAAGTTGTTTTTTTTGTCTGGAATGACGTACCGAAGTGAGTAAATTTTGGGTAATCGACATTTCATAGGATTAAGCTTATGTAAATATAGTTGGCAACTTAAGATTTCCGTACAGTTAGTAATTAAATCATCTGACGATCGCAAATTAGTGTGTGTTAGGTAAATTAAGTGGTTAATTGAGAGTAATTAGTGTTTTTTTTTTAAATGAAGTTTTACGATTGATGTGTTTCTATATTGTTGTATTTAGAATGTTGTCTTATTAATTTTACTATCAGTTTTTGTAAAGTCAAATAAACATATTTTCAATAAAATATAAATTGTCTTAGAGACTTATCAATATTAAGATGCCTAATCTATTTTTTGTTAAAGATCAGTCACGACTCATGACTAAAAGAAAATAATAATTTCTAATGATCCTAAAACAAAATCGGCCCATATCATATCTGGAATCTAGATACTAGACATACATATATATTACATGAAATGACGTGCTCAGGGTATTTTTTGCGGATGGGTTATACATAAAAAAAAATATAGTACTCTCCAAATGGTATCTTAAACACTTAATTATTCTTGTAAACTCGTATCCTTCTCTCGAGTACGCCCTCGTGTAAATTATCTTTTGATAATATTTCAGCTTACCACTATATTAAATATCAAAATTTTTAAGATTAAAATTTCGTACTAAGATTCCATGAGGTATACGCTACGATTTTAGAAACTTAATATCTTAGAAAGTATCGGTATTTAGATACAAAAAATCAAAGTTTAGTAGCGAGAATTTTTAAGGACTGATGTATTCGAATATTGAATGTCTCGAGTTGCCAAGTGTCTAATCAGCTACTTTCAAGTGGCCATTGACAATTCAATAAAACCGTCCGAATAATAAATTATCTGTCAATGATTCTCACGCTTCTCGAAATTTTAATTCTCATCTTAGACTCTATACAACCAAATGTTCAGAAAAACTATAATGTTTTTGAGGTACACAGTCCTTTTACCTGCTAAGACAGTCAGTACAAATTATTAAAACTGAAATCAGGGGTTCTTTTCACAGGGTAGGGGAATTATAGACACCAAAAATATATTTACTCTTTCTAAAAACTATACAGAGTGTTCAGTAAGTCAGGAAACGGGTTTCTATTGTTCTCATTGTTTGTAACAATGAGAACAATAGAAACCCGTTTCCTGACTTACTGAACACCCTGTATCTTAAAGACGGTTTTATTTTCGTTGAATTATTATGGGGAATTTTTACTCCTAACCTTCCTCTCTAGTTACATACTCGTATTCAAATTATGATCGATAGGTAATCAATTAAGCTCATAAGAATCATTTGATTACGGCGTCTACATGAACCTATACAACTGTGGGTAGATTATTAAGAATTTTGTTTATCCTAATTAAAATAAAACTAACAAGTTACTTTACGACACAATTGGTTGTAAATGTGTGTGTATACGAGTGTTTCTTTTTTGTAAATGTTATAACATAAAACACATTTATTTTTATGCCTCTAAATTTTTGTTTGGAATCTCACTTGAATGTGCGAATTTTCGACTCATCGATAACTTAGGTAATTGACCCGGTTTTGGGAATGGTAAGTGGTCATTACAAATACGGTTCACGCAAAGTACGAAAGAAAAATGATATTTTGTTAAAGAAAAATATTTTTCTAGAAACTATTTGGCGACGGGAAGATATTTATTTAACTTTTCTACGTAAACTTGTAAAAATGACTGTGCGATAAAATTTTCATTTACAATAGTTTTCTTTCGAGGTGACCTAAAATTATCCTTTTGTAAGGAATGAATATACAATTGCTTTGCATTTAAAATAACTTTCGGTTTGTCAATAATATTTTTTATTCATTTTGAATAAAACACAATTTGCAAGTTAACACATTTTTAACTTGTTTTAGTCAAATTAATTTTGAAATTAGAACGTCAAGTTGAGTTACATGTTATAACCTGTGCATATCCTTAACTTGGTTAAATGAAAAGTAACTAGGAAAAATTTAACTTTATTTTCACATTGTTGTAGTGTACTTGAATTTAACACGTTAAAAAGTATTTAGTTGAATAAAAAGTGAAACCTGCCAAAAAAATAACAAGTTACACAAACTCAATTAAATGAACTAACGTTTTAACTGTTGTTAACATGTTAATTCTCAGCCTTGACAATTTCTCCAAATTAATTATTTCGAGTAACACAATAACTGACGGTAAAGGTATTAATGCGTAAAAACACTTTGATCTTAACACGGATAAGTATATACTCCAACATCATTACAATGTGTTGATTATAGGGGTCAAGTTATCGCAATTATTATTTTAGAACTGTGGTAACTATTTCGGGCGAGACGTCACGCCCATAGTGTTCAATACTTTTGTGTATACAGTATCCAAATGAACCATTGTAGACCAGAAATCAACAAGAGTCATCGGTTTGTGACTTTTGTCACGCCATTTGAATGAATTGTGTGTCGGTAATCTATCGATTCATCTCGGATCGAATTTTTATCGTCGTTTTACTATTATAATAACTTCCGGAAAACTTTCTTTGCAATTATATGTGTTTAATGAGCCTAAACATTTCGGAAAATCGTTTTCCCATGTCCATTAAGTTTCATTTCATACGCCGCTAACAAAACTATTTCATTCGACTTAGTTGTATCCAGTGAGTTTCCAACGCGACCCAACGGGCGTATCGTTTTTTCTATGAATCTGATTGTTTTTTTTTGAATCCGCTTTATAACGGTGAGATATGAGTAACGTTGAAAACATTCATTGGTTGTTGGTGTTCCAGAAAACATACGGACGACTTTTCAGTTTTTCGTCAAAAACTATCGTCTCTTGGGATCTAGAAAAATATTTTCACGAGTCTGTTTTTCTGATTATTCTATCCGCTTATATTTTAGTCGCATCAAGCATGTAAATACATTTTTTAATACTATAATTTGATGTGGGTCCAATGGAAACCTAATCCAAACCTTCAATAAATTGTCTTAAATATGCGACATTCAAGGTCGAAAATGTGTAGGAGAGAGGACGACGAATCATCACAAATACTTAATGACTTAATATTAAAAATCAAATTTATGTTTTATATAATCCGTAAAATATTTATAATATTAATACTATGTTATGACATTATATATTTAATATGTAATAAACGGTATTGAAACAATTTAATATGTGAAAAATAATGATAATCAAACATCAATCTCTTTCCTAAACTTCTCTTTTAGTCTTCTTCTTCCTCGTTTTAATCCCAACTACTTGGGGTCGGCCACCCTTATCCTAAACTTCCACTTGACACGATCTCCCACATTATCTACGCTCACATCAGCTGTCCTCATATCTCATAAATTTTTCTTTTAGTATTTCAATAAATCATGATAAAATATCTTATCCACACCACCGTGTGCTATTAAAGGAATAAACATGTTTTTTATTAAATTATTACCATTATAATTTAGGTGAAATACCCAAATAATTCATTCGCAGACTTTTTTCAAAACTTAAGGATATTGAAATCTATAAGATTAGTCATAAGACATCGATATAAGTTAGACTTTGATGAAAAATTGCTAACTTTTTATAATTGTTTGGTACTGAAAAGACACACATTTATTTTCGAATAACGCTAATTTTGAAAGGAATTTAAAAATAAGTTTTTTCCGTTCAAATGCAATTTAATCAAAGTTTATCAGAATTTCAATTGCTCGTGCTATTGAAATTCTCGAAGAAAAAAAACTTATCTTACCCTTAATTTTTCACGAATTGAATTTCCTATGTAAATTCAAGGTTTATCCGACTTTTCTTCTTTTTTTTTGGGTAGTTATTATGGGAAAATAATTATAGATGGTACACTTTTAAATTTAAAAAATTCATATGTTCAATTTTTAATTAAGCATTATTCATTAATCACAATAAATATTCATTAATATAGGGATAATGCATTTTTTTATATAATAATTGACATCGTAATATGAATACAGTTGATTATTTAAAAAAATCATTGTTCGCTTTTATATATTATTTTGTCTGATAATTAATAGCACAATAGTGTATTATTATAACAATAACGTTCACAAAACTAATAAGTAAAATTATTGTGTTATATATTATTGTTATTGCGAATCAATGTTAATTATGGTCAATAAATTAGCACCTTACTGGAAAAGTAATTAGGACTTATTATGAATTATTTTTTCCACAGATTTTTCCTGAAACATACGTCTATCGAGCAGGCGTTTGACATGCTCCAGGAACAAGGATTTTACATGGCCGGAAGTTGTGGTTCCGGTACAGCTGGAGGAACGTCCGCGGCCGAACTCAAGCCAGGGGTGGACTCGGAGGAGAGTCGCTGGAATCATTACAATGAGTTTGTGTTTGTCAGAGATTCCTGAATTCCTCGCCCCTTTGCTGTACCAGACTAAAATACTCTTTTGTAGATATTATTCTTTTGACGGTTTCTTTTCGAGTTTTTAATAATATTACCAATTCATTGTTAATTTTTTATTTTTAAATCATCGTTATTGTCATCGTCATCATTTTTATCGTCGTTATCCTATTATATATTAACATAGTTTTTAGAAATGTTATATTGGAAAAAAATAAATGGTTCTTAAACTCCAAGTCAAATTCATTATGATTTTGACAATTTACGACATTATCATATTAAACGTTTTGGTCTATTTTATAGTATATTATCATAATTATCATCATCAATTATTAATATTATTGTATTTAAGTATTATACGTATCTAATTTTATGATGTATTTATAACAAAATAATATTATTGTATTAAAAAGCGTCGTGCGTTTAGGATCACATATTAATGCGGACAAATTTATCCCTTTTACGTGCCGTTATTTTTTCGACTTACGGTTTTATGATTTTTTTTTTTTAGATGAACATAGTCGTTGACATCAATGTCATGCCAGTTATAAGACTACTGTGTTAATGAATTCATTATTTTTAATTACTTATTTATAAGGCATTATAAAAGACGTGTTCAATACATTTGGAAACACTTAACATATATGAATATTCATACATTTTTTATTCCAAACTTGTTAATTGCTTTTTAATCTATATATTTGTACTTAGATGCTCTAAAATTAACATTTATTTGTGTAAGTATAATGGCTCGTTGTAAAATTACTATACATTAATAATTGTATATCATTGAAAAAATGATATGAATGTTATTACTTATGTTAAACTTTAAAATTTAATGAGTACACGAGGGCCGAGTATTACTCGCGCCTCGTTAAAATCAAACATCTTCTTTTGTCTGTTTATGACCATTTTGTATAAGTGTATTCGATTGGAAATTATAAAATTTTTGAAAACGAGAAAATAAACATTACACATAATATTATTAATTTTCAGGTTTATGTTAATTCGAGTGAAATTTTATTGTCTCCTTTAATCTTAAAAATCCAGTAATTAAATAAATCTATCGACTCAACAGAGTAATCATAATAGTTTTGGTACAAATTGAAAACTATTAAAAATAAACTAATTGGTATCCCTGAAAGTCTTTATGGAACAACTCTGTACTATTTTGCGAAAAAAAATTGCTCTAATAAGGTTTAAATTTGTTTCCATTGTCTCCAGTTGTGGTCCACGAGACTCACACGTGAGACGAAAACAAATTATTTTATAGGTAATATTTTGGTCACGTAAAATTATTTGCTAAATTTTGAATGAAAGTAATAAACTCAAAAACACTAAGCGAGGTGATATTTTAAAATAACGTTTTTATGTTTAATTTGTAGAAGCAATTATTTTGACCAACAAGAAACGTAATCTAACTTACTTGATATTTACTTTATATAATTTGCTAATCTTCAATAGTTAATGAGCTTATGAGTAAGTAGCCAGCAGTAAATTCGCAAAAGTAATTAAAGTAATGTGAGAATTGAGGAGGTCGTTAGAGAGGGTAAATGTATTCTTTTTTCTTAAAAAAATATTTTACATAACAACAAATAAATTTCTTGCGAATAGAAAGGGAGGGATGGAATGAGGTAAGGGACTAATGGTCCTTTCTTCTCCGGTGAGCTCCTTGAGCACGACCTGCGAAAGGGCCTGGACACACCTATGGTCAAGTATATTCTCATATTTTGCCAACAACGGAATTGTATCACATTATCCGTGTAAGTTTTTTGTTAGTTTAACTTGACCGACCGCCTAACTTTTCCTAAGCATGATGTTTATATAAGTATGATGTATCCTTCTAAAAAATATTTACGTCCTATACGGAAGAGTTTGCAATGGAGGTAAAAACAAAAAATAATAGATAAAAATATGCTGAAAATACTTAAAGTTCGATAATCAGAAAGTTTATATTTTAAATAATGTTTTACATTTCCGGTTTATTTAATTGTCTGTCTCAAATTACATTATCTAAACAATGAAATATTAATAATAAATAAAAATGTTTTTAATGATGTTAATACATAGAAGAATTATAATAACAAAAAAATAAATTTATTAAAACGTGTAACATGAAAAATCTTCACAGTTTACATTAGTATATAAAAAAAAAAAACAAAAAATATAAATACAGCGGCTAATTTTTAATAACCTCTGACATGATAAAAGTTTTTCAATGAAAAATTACAATAATGTTCAGATTCAGTGTCGTTTTAATGAACCTTTAGGATTCTTACAACATTTACCGAATATGCCAATATCTTTTTTAATTTAGAACGTTGTTCAATTTAAAGAATTTCCTCGGGGCACTTTTCATTCTTTGCTTCTTCTCTTTAGATCAGCTCTGATTAAATAACGTGTACAGTATACACGTTAAAATTGAATACGTATACACTTTTTACATATTCAATTTTCTTTCATAATATGCTGGAAAATTGTAATATTACATTACGTTACCTAAATTATTTATGAGAGTATTTTTGAATACATAATACCCCAACTTATTATTTTTAATATAATTTGATTATGTGTAAAAAATTTCGTTAAGGAGGTTTGAACACCTAAATCTTTTTGTCAGCATTATCGTTAAAATTTAAAAAAATTTCTCTAAATGAAACTAAACTCATAAAATCAAACAATCGTCGAAGTAGCGAAATTTGAATATTCGTAAATACTATCAAATTTATTTTGTTATAATTGAATTTTGAAATACAGAAGCAAAACTAAGGGGATCAATGGAGATAAATTGTACATCTAAACTTACTTTAGTCGGCCAAATAGACTTCCCCTAAAAAGAGATTTGGATTCTTTTATACATATTATTAAACTAAATTTTTTTTAAATTATATTAATTTTTTTTAACCCAATTTTGTCTATATAAAATAATTTTATTTTCAAATTTTGGAAATCCTGCGTTTTATAGTTTTTATCGAATTCATTATGAGTATTTTATAATAGTTTTTTAAATAATGAATTTGAAACAGGAGCGTCATTTCAGATTATGTTAAAATGGGGTAAATTTATGACCGGAACATCATTTCACTAAGCCGATCGCTTTGTTCGCAATTTATCTCCTATAATTAAACCAATTAAGTAATTTAATATAAAACATTTATTTTTAATGACTTTTAGATTTTTTTACAATTTTAACATAAAATTAATGTATAAAACGTATTTTTTAAAAAGTTTTTGCTAGTTTGTAGACTTATTTGGAAAAATATAACACTTCACAGTCATGTTATTGGACGATGATTTTTAAATTATACAATTTATTAAAAGTTATTGAGGAAAAATTATTTTTCTTTTCCAATAATATTTTTTTTGAATGACTAAAATTTGAATTTTTTCTATACATCATAGGTTATGTTTATATGACCGGTATGGCTTGGCCTAGTATGAGTATAGCTCGGGACCGGTTCGTACAGAAAATTTTAATTTCCTAGTTCCCCCCCACCCACCGAATGACCCAACCCAACTGATTAAAAATAAACAATTATTGTTATAACTAGTCTTCGATTTGTTAGATACATAAATGTATGAAAAATATTAGTATAAAAATGATTTGAAAGTTATTAAAGCATAGTTGTAGTTTTGCAAAAACTTGATTACTAAAATTTTTATAATATATTTTTTGTATACATACATTCTGAAAAGCTCAAACAAATCATCCTAAAAATTAAAAAAAATATCTTGAGTATTGCAGAGACAATACCCAAATCTTTTTTTTTTAATCCTTGTTAATTTTATAAATCGAAGTTAATTTATGTAATTCATTTTTCTTTTTTTGGTATAACATTTTCAATATATTCTTTTAAATTGACAAAAATATTATAATTACAATGATGAAAAAAAATATCTTCATTTTTGCTTACCTTTGACGATTGAAGTTGTTCTACAGCTTTAGGAAATGTATTTATAAAATGATCTTGATAACTTTTTCGTAAATTATGAAAAAATTAGCTATTTTAAAGTATGATTTTGAAACAAATTTCATTCCTTTAAATAAATATGTGTACAAATGACCCATAATTTCTATTAAGAGGCTTCTGATTTTTGGTGTTAATAATTGTTCAATTTGTTTGCTATCTGTAATGTGTGCTAAATTGACTTGTATTTAGTTAATTGGCCAAATCTGATTAAAGTGATTTATTAAAAAAAAATTATCACATATTCTAGTATAAAATTTTTACTCTACATCTAATTATAATTATATTTATTTAAATTAAAAATGTTCATTATTATTAATATTATATAAATTATTTGAACAGTGAAATATTAATTTACTAGGCTCTTCCTCAGATGCGAGGCTTTAGGGGTTGATTACTCATTCCGGTAGGAGTTTCTGGCTGCACCGTAGACAATAAGTGTTTTGTAGGAAAAATATTACTTCAGAATCAGTAAAGTAAACAAAAATATATTAAGGAATTTAATTAGTAAATTAAAGACGCGTGACATCCGTAGGGCCCCGACAGCCTAGGAGATTAATATAAAATAACAGATTGCAAAATAATATTGAGAATTCATACATTTTCTTTGAGGTATCCTTTAATTTTCACATATACATGCAAAAGCTATTTTTATATAAATAATAAATTTATTGTATGAGATATCATGATAAATATTATTGTTGTTACACATTGATGTCATCAATATTTATAATGAAAATCCAACAAAATGAGTTTCTTGAATTATAAACTCTGTTTATATTTATTTAATATTATTTAAATTAAATACCTGCTTGAAACATAATATGTATAACATAATATATTAATTTAATATTATTATTAATATTATTTATAATAATATTATTGATACAAAAATATCAAAATACATAATTGTATAAAATAATAATAGACTACTAAGAATTTAGCAAAATACGAATGAAATAGGTAATTTTCTAATCATAAAATAGAATTTGTAAATACAGCGTTATTTATTTTATTTGATGAACTATCGTAAAATATACACAATATATTTCAATGAGCAGACATAAAATCGTATCCTAATAAAAACTATGTACAATAAAAGCTAATAACTCGATAAAAAATCAACAGATTTCTACGTAATTTTCAAAGTACTCTTGGAACGTCTATAGACAAGATTTGTAAAAATTTCAGGTCTTAAAAACGACAAACTTTGGCGGCAGTGAGCATTTTTCTTTAAAAAATCTGATATTTTTACGATAATGGAGTGCTAAAAAAAAATTTTCTGTTATTCCTGAATAATGGCCCCGGTCTTATACATAAAAAAAATAATTGAAAATCAGAGCTCATTAAGTTATTTTTCCAGTACAAGCTAATTATTTAATGTTTTATTAAATAATAAGATATTACAACAAATCAGAATATTAAATTATCAATACAATGTATTTTTGAAATATTTTATCTTGGACTTTTTACAATACCAATTTTGACGGTTTAAAAAAATAATTTTACACTAGTATTATGTTTTTTATTATTTTAATGAGGGAATATTTCAAATGATTATTGGGATATTTTTTTCTATAAATTTATTATATGGGTATGAATAATACATTGCAAACATGTCAAATTTTCAATATTCATTAAAACTAATAAATTGATATCTCTATCATAAATATTAATACTTAAAAATAATTTATCGCCCTAAATAACTTAATTTTTGTAAGGAACATAATATGATAAATGTATTTTATATAATACATTTATATATTAATTTGATAAACATATTTATCATATTAGTATACTATTCATCAATTTTAGAAAAAGCTGTAAGGAAAAGTTAAAAGGTAACTTATTGATAGTCTTCTTTATATTATATTATTTATATTTATACTGGTTACCCATTTTATTAAATTTAAATTAATTCATAAATTAAATTTAAATAAATCTAAAATCAAAATAATTTTCATTTTTATCTTTATTTTGAATTAGTAGTAAAGATTTTATATGGTGTCGATTTGGCTAATTTTTCTGTCAATTTTACTACCTCATGCCTAAATTGTTCAAAATCCTTTATAAATAAAATAAATATATAAACATACAGTATAATATTTATATAAGTATTTGTATAACTTGTAATCGTCAGATCAATATACCAATCACGAAATATGACTTTATTACGTTTATTTTTAATGATTGAAATAATATTGCGTAGTGATCAATTAAATAAACACTTAAAATAAAAAAAATTTCGTTTAAACATGACACTTTAAATTTATCACGCTGCAGCTTTTTATTTGAAACGATTATTGCTACCATTTATTAATATTAATATATTAAACCTATTGCTACCATAATATACCTATTAACCATTGGAGGTATTATTTATCTTTTAGTGAAACAATTTAATGCATTTGTGATAAGGATTATAAACTTATGCATAAAATCCTATTATTTACAAAAAGACTTTTATAACCTTGATAATTCATATAATTGTTTCATAAATATTAAAATATTTTAATAATTACAAATTGTTTTTATTTTAGTAATAATTTTTAGGTGAAATGTTATGAACATTTTTGGGAATATAACATTTAAATTAGTATATACATCTTTATTATATCAGGAAGAATGTATGATTTACCCGGCAAAAAAAAAAAAAGGGCTAACCATAGCTCACATTTTTAAGTAATTTTTTTTTATGGTGAAAAAACAGTTAAATATTTAAGTTATTTATTAATTATTTTTACCATATGCAATAAAATTACGTTTAAAATAAAAAATAGTTATAAAAAGATATTTGAAAAAACTGAACAAATAAAAGTTATAATAACGTTAAAATATTTTAATTTTTCGATAGAATATATGTAATAATGTTTCAAAGTTTGAGTAATTATTGGTTTTTATTATTTGGTTTTCAAATCTCTAAAACTAAATGAGTTAAACTTAGATATTCATATTTTTTTACAATATATCACATTTTAAATTAGATTATAGATTTATTTAAACCGTTTTCATCGTTACAATACAGTATTTAATTATATATATTTAAATTCATAATTTGACACACAAAAAAAATTATCATATTTACAGGATGTTCAATATTTTGTCGAAATTGAAGAATAGCATTTAATTTTGATCGAATTAAAGTATTAATAATCTAAAAATATTAAAGTATTAGCTGTAATTTTATTTTCAATTTAAATAAAACGTTTATATTATTTAAATGAAATTATTGTTAAAAGTGTTTTATAAAAATTATTCTATAATTATATAAAATAATATAAACTCGAAATATTCAAAAAAACACTCAATCCTTCGATTAACTCCTTTAATCCTAAAGAGTATAAAAATGATCGAAAATTGCAAAAAGAGTGAGCATCTTCATTACAATAGAAACAAAACAAATAATAGAAAAATGTTCTATCAAATACTTAATATACTCAGCAGAAGCAATAGCTGTTCTTAAAGCTATCCAACTTACAGTCGACGAAGAGCACTTACACTATATCATTCTATGCAATTCATTGAGCTCCATCAACAATATAAAAAATATCCATCATCAAAATGACATTTTATCCCTCATTAACAAGAAATTTGAAAAAGCCGACACTAAAAACAAACCCGTCACAATTCTATGGTTATATAGGTATAAAAAGGCCATGAAGACGCCCATAAATACGCTAAAATTGCAGCTAACGATCCAAATGTACCACCTTTACTTAGACTTATACCATCAAAAGCATTAAAAATAATACAATTTAAAAATAGCACAAGCTTTGGAACCAACAAACCAAAAAGTTGAACCCAATTAGGTCAACGGTATTACAACGGACAAATTTTAACCTCAAAAAAAAAAAAGAGAAGTCGTTATAAACAGACTACAAATTAGTCACACAAAACTTACTCACTGATATCTCATGTCAAAGGATGACCTACCAGATATTCCTTTGAACCTCTACATAGCACTCGGCCTCAAGCTCCCAAAAAAAACAAATTAATGTTAATGTTTTTTAAAACACTAGCTGGTACAACACAATTCAATATTATGTAAATACGGTACAACTTGAATATTATGTAACATTGTATTATTAATATTATAACTTATGGCCTTTGCTGTCAAAGTAGTAAGATCAATAATAATGATGACATAATATAGTAAAAATGTTTTTGTAAACAACTAATGTTACACACAGAGAATTTCAATGAGAAAATTTATCAACACAATATGGTGATAATATAATTTACATCCTATAAAAAATTATTTGATTAATAATAAAATAAACCTGTCGTAGGTAAAACATTTATATACTTTATTTATATTGTTTACTAAAAATAAATTATATAAAGAGGAAGACACTTGCATATGCTCATTCTAGATCTACCAAAGTTTTAAACGAGTAATTTTTCATATCGGTATATTTTTACAATGAAATTTTACCCGTTTACTTTAATATCTATTGTAATTTTCATATTAAAACCAGATGAAGGAATTTATTGCAAAACTTATTATGTGGAATATAAACATTACATTAAAATGGTGGTGAATCACATTTATTCACGAATTGAATTATATAAAAAACAAGATTCAAATAATACTATTGATATAATAACAAATTTACAACTAAAGAAGAAACTGCTTAAATTCTCAGTAAAATACAATTATACAATAAATGTACTCAATTACAAGTACAATGAAATAGTACAGAAATTCCTTGCTTTCGTAAATGTTATCCTTAGTAAATGTCAGAAATATCATAAAAATAAATCAACAAAACATTTTATTCCTTATGTAGTTCTGCTCCAAGAAGTAGTGAAAAGTTCCAAAACGTTGTTTGAAAATCTATACAATGCTATGAAATTTATAAGCTACATAGATATTAGATTTTTGTTTTTTGGAAGCGTCGTGCCGCATGGTATAATTGATGAAATCGAATTTATATATCAATACGTCCTAGAAAAAAGTGAAAATACCAGACCTCTTGATCTCAACAAATCACCTTATGAAGTCTGTGAAATGAATTTTGAGAATTTGAAAAAATTTCATTTTGAAGCATCAACAAGAGTAGAAAATTTTTTTAGAAATAGTAATGCCTTGAACTCTTTTATACTATATGATTTAAAAAAAATTCAAACTACAGAAATACCTACTGACACTAGAAATTTAAGAAAAAGTACACTTCAAAAGTTTTTCAACGATATTACAGAAATTTGGTACAAAAACTTAGGTTTTGAACAATTTCTTAATCCCATAATAACTGAGTAAGAATTTCTACATTTAAATTTATTTCCTAAATTCATATTTGTTTATACATAGTTAAATATGTTTTTTGAAAACACAAGAAATTTACTTTTAAATCCTTAGCTAATTATTGATAAGACAATTTGTAAAACGTATTATAAGTAATATTCAATGGCTCTAGTAAAAATTTGAAAAAAAAGAATCATTACGAAATCAACAGACAAGTTAGTTGGTTTGTTGAAAATAAATAATTACTATCGAATAAGATTGAGTAACGACGACCTTATTTTGGTGTTGTGCTTTTGAATAATTTTTAGTGGTATTTTCTTTGGTAAATTGTTTTTTAATGTGGGTTTAAATTATAAGTTTAAAAAATTATTATTATATATGCAATAAATCTTAAACATAACCATGTTATTTATTCAAAAGTATTTATTAGCTCCTAGAAGCTAATAAAACGAATACTCTTAAAATATTATATTTTTAATTTATCAACTCAAAAAAATTCTTTGCCAAATTTCATTTACTTTTATTCTATAATAATTTAACACAAAAATTTTACATTTTTGCATAATTTATCTAAATGAAAATAAAACAATATCTATATATTTAATAATATTTAAACTCATATCATCTATGTATTCATGTAATAATCAAAAACAATTTGTTTGATATAGATTCATACCTCCAATAGATCCAGATACAAATCAAAAATATGGAATTGAAGCTCTTGATATTATTTGTAAGGAACCCGGTTGGAAATCAATGGAGCACATAAGTATAAATTATTGTGAAAAACAAATAAACGTAAATCGTATAATAGAAGACCCAATTAATAACCTAAATTTTCGAATAAAAAAAGAACATGTAACACAATTATTAAGATGCAGGTTTACAGAAATGATGAATATCTATCGTACACTACTATCTGCTATGTTGACTGTATGTCAAAAAGTTGCATTTTACTGTTATTATAACTGTTTGGTTAAAATATTTAACTCATTCAAAGAATCCAAAATAATGCTTGACGGATTTCGTAAAGCTTTAACTACTTTAAATAGATCATCAATATGGAGTGTTAATTTTAAATCTAATTCGAGTTTACAAAACATTTTTAAATGGGTTACAGGTTTTCTCAATTTATTGGGGAACAATGATTTCTGTCAAGATAGCTCTATCATTATATTCGATAATAAAACAATGAAAATAGTTGATAATCTTCTAACGAATTTTCAAATTTATTTTAACAGCTTCAGTGAGCATTTACGTTATGATATGAACAAAACAAACACTAGGTGTTATATAAGTAAACCTTTTAAAAATGATGAGGCTTATATAGAAGAATTTAAGGATTCAGCAAATGTATTAAATAGTCCAAATTCCGAATGGGTACAGAAAATTATTCTTCACGCGTGTAATTATTTTGATAATTTTTGTAAAAATGTTCACAAATCTTGTTATGAAGATCTGGGTTTCGAAAAACTTACACATTGCCAAAACAAAGAATTAGACAGCAAACTTAATTATTTTACTGTAGATTTATCTACTTAGCCTCCATTGTATCGTAAAGGTACGAGTATCAACGAGTTTAATTTGAAAAGTATACTTGATCAAATTATTACTTTAACTAATAATTTTAAATTTCACACGTATAATTTAATAATCATTTTTGAAATCATTATTTTGGTTTAGTTTCATTCTAGTTTTTTTTTTTTTATAAATTTTCTGTTATTGTTACAGTCTTCACTAGCACACTTGATACAATATATTATTAAAAATATTTCACTATGTTATAAAAATATACCGTTTTATAGCTAATAATAATTAAAGCCATTATTTGTTCATACTATTAACAATATTAAAATAAAAAAAAAATAAAAATTTATTATACTTGTATATTGTTTAACGAAAAAATAATTAACATTTTAAAACGTGTTTAAATAGCATTAAGAATGTAATCAAAATTATGATATAGTTAAAGCAAAATTATTTAAAGTTTTGAATATTATTAACTATCTTAAAATTAATACCAATGCCTAATTATGTAAATATTTTTAATGAGCAACCACTAACAAGTTAGTCTTTTCGGCTCTATCGACTTTGGCATCGCCGTTTTGGCGATAATACACAAAATTAATAAATATTATTTTATTTAAACACAATTAATTAAATAAAATAATAATTTGGAACACTAAATAGAATAAATATGAATAATTTTCTATTGAAGTATCAAAATATTGATAATATTTAAAACTTTGAATAAACAAATAATTTTAATTTCAATTACTTTATTAGTTATATAAAAATAAACATTGGTAAAATTTTGAAAAAATAAATAGACGAACATATCATAAAATTTACATATATATCCAATAAAATAAAAGAAAAAATAAATAGATGAATAACTATAAAATTTTTGCTCTTCCGAATAATATTATTTCTGATATTTATTCATAGATGATTTTTGTTGTATTAATATTGTTCCATTACTATTGCATCATTACAAAAGTCCAAAAGTATAGGGTTATACTTTTGTAGAGTATTAGATTTAACCTTGTGCTATTAAATCGATTGGTCTAAGAGTGAATTTAGTTTTTAATTAAAATATCATCAAATTAAAGACTGTAAACATTAATTATTTAAACACATAGATTTAAAACGTATTGATTGAATAAAAAATAAAAAAATAGTGAAATTGTTATAAAATATTGAATGTAGTTTGTTGTTCGGTATAGTCGAAATTACATTTTTTTTTCTTATAAATGTATATGACAAATTAATGTTTTGTTTTCAACTCAAAAATTACAAAGTTTCATATTTTTTTTTAATTATTGACTCATATTCATAGAAGAAATTTAATACATTTTACAAAAAAATTTTTAAAAAATTTGAATGAGTTTCAAACAAACTTTCAAAAACTTTGAATGAGTTCCAAACGTATAAACGTGTAGGAAACAGTATTTATAAAAACAATTTAATAATTTAACAAATGAAGGGTCGGCGGGAATAACGTGCTATGTAACATTTTTTCCCATTTCATTTTTTTGTGGAATAACGTGCTGTGAGTCTATCTCAATATATTTATAGAATTAGATATTTGATTATGTTTAAAGTTGGAAGAACGTGTTACGTGCAGTCCAAATAATATTTAAACGAAATAACATAAGTAATTTTGTTTTTACTTGATACTGAACAATTTACAAATTGTTAGCACGTTATTCCCGCCGACCCTTCAAATGTTATTATTATTATAATAAAATTTTTAATAATAAACTATTACATTTATAACTGCCTTTTTATTGATAAAAATGATGAACGACGTACAACATTCTACGTACATTGTTTTACATTTTCAGATTTTCTCGCACTTCTGCTAAGTACAATTTTATTAATGTTATGAATTTTTTTTCACTATATTTATAATATTGATATAGTGGAAATAATTTCGTGGTATCTTTATGCGTATGAAGATTACAAGTACAATATGTATTAAATAATTCTCAAAGAAAAATGTAGAATATTATTTTTTCGTACGAAAAAATTTTAACTGATATTTAATACCATTCAAAATTATGTATATATCAAAGTTAAAATTTTCGACTATTAACATATTTGTTAGGTTCATTTGTTGTTTTATGAGCAAACAGAAAATTATGCTGCGTAAATCTAATGATAAATAATTAAAGAAAAATCAAATTTGAATAAATGTTGTCAATAATTTAAAAATTGTTTATTGTAACGTTGATATAGACAATATTATAAATATTTTTATATTAAACGTTTAATATATTTTTTTTAAATTAATTTTAAGTACATAATAATTCATTGTTAAATAAATCATTTTATTTTTCAATATAAGAATCAATTATTATATCCTATTATATTTCTCAATGTCATATTCTTTGTTAGTTTTTTTCACCAACTCCTTTAAAATGTATAAAAAAAAATATAAATAATAATGTAATATAAGAATTCAATATTTTTTCTTACTCTTAACCACTTTAGTTGTTTTTCGGCAATATGACATAAATTGATAAAATTTTCTTGATTGTTTTTTGAAAAATTATCAAATACATGATTAGACATTTTCAATAATGATTGAGAAGTGAAACGCGTTCCTTTAATAGCAGTCACGTATAAGTTTTGTGCTACTCCTTTTATTAGATTGTTAATCTCTGGAGTTAAAGAATTTTCTAAGTCTTTTAAAACCTGAAATATGTGTCGAATTAAATAGTGGTCTTTTTTTTTTTTAATTGTATCCAAAATTAATTGTAGTAACACTTAATGAATAAAAAAAAAATCACTTGGATTTTATCCTACTTTAATGTTTTACTATTGCACAAATAATACATTTATAGTACTAAAATATCAATTTAAGTGAAAGCAAAAAAAATGCTTTACATATTTAAGATTTAGTTGAAATTAAAAATTCAAAATCGATTACGAATCTAAAAAAGATGCCACCTTATGTAACTTCATTTTAACAAAAAGCTTATAGCCATCATATTAGTATATTAGTAACCCAACTATGAAAAATCAACGGGAAAATAAAAAGAAACAATCCAGAATACCTTATGTCCTCCATCTTCTATTTTCCTTAATGTATTTTTAATATCATTTTTAACTTCATCTTCATAATGATTTGGCACCAATGATTCTAAGTTGTAACCTATCGATTTTGTTATTTCTTCTATCAAATTCCCTACCGCATGTTTAAGGTCGTCCAAAGATCTTTCAAAAACACTTTCATTCGACCAAACCTTTAATAAATGTATAATTAAATTTTACGTATAAAGAATAATTTAAACAAATGTATTGTACTTGTTTGAGTTGTAATGACAAAATCAATGTAAAAATTATAAAATATGACTTCATTACGTTTGTTTTAGATCAAATAAACTATAACGTCGTGTTCAAACAAATAAATATTTAAAATTAATCGTTATTATAAATATGGTACGTTAATTTTATCAAGCTACAATATTTAATTGTAAACGTTTATTATTGTTATAATATTATATATACTCCAACTAAGAGATATTACTTATCTTAAACACTGACTAATCTTAAAAATTTAATTTATTTTTCATCAAATGAAATTTCCGTGACGTAATTATAAAATCATATTTCTTATTACACCATTTTAACAAATTATTAACCATTGACCATTAAATATCACAGATTTAGACAATTTTTAATTATCTACTAAAATATTGAAATCTGTTTAAAATAATAAGTAACAATTTTATCCTCCAGGATATGTTCGGACATCTTCTGGTAACAGAACCACAAAATTTTATTTATAAAGTTATACTACTTCAAAAAAGGGCATACAAGATGTTCTAAATTCAGTTTACATGCTTTAGTCAGTATATTTGTAACGGAAAGTACATTATCTAAATATTTTCTAATTGCTAGAAATATTTGGACCTAAGTGAAGTATAATTCTTACTTGCTTCTTTGGCAAATTCTCATTCAGGAATGCGAGTGTATTTGGTGTAATATAAATGGAATTAGCGACTCACTAGCTTGGAAATACCTGCACCTATACATTGAAAACTGTGACATCCAAAACGAAAAGGTAAATGTACCACATAGTTTATGTGTCCGCACTGTGAGTTTAATTTCTGAGACAATTTTATTTTTATTTTTTAACGATTTTTAAATATCCAGTATAGTGTTTGGAAAGAACGTCGTTTATAAACGTATCACATTCAAGTTTGGTGAACGTCATTTTTTATTTTCTAATAGAACGTGAATATAAACAAAATTCACATTTTTTGACGAGTTTGATATATTTTAAGGTTGTTCGCATAATTAACAATAATGTATGGTTTCCACCAGCTAATGACGTATTGGTATAATAAAATTATACAAAAAAAAAAAATCTAATTAATAATATATACCCATTATATGATTATGTACTGTATAGAATAAAAGCTTTGTTATCGTAAACAGTCAAATGTGATTTAATGTGAAAAACATTCTTATTCATATGGTCATTTAGAAAAAAACCATCACTGTTTGACTTTTATATACTTTTTGTAAACATTTCAATTTAAATGGTTTGTTTGATAATATAAAAAATTAATTTGATTGTAAACGAGTTTACTGAACGTTCCGAACACTGGTCCAGTAGGAATGAATCAGTTTATTTACCAAAAATGGGTCGTTTATAATTGCGAATGATTCCACGTTCGTGTCTTTGGATATCAAGTATGTCGAACACGTAGGTATCTAGAAAAAATCCTTTCGGACAACACATCCGCTTCGGTGTGTTTGATTTTGTTTTAGGCGAAAACGAGAAACAGAAAAGTTATCCAAATTGACACAATGCAAAAATTAGATGGATACCGACGGTACGCGTAAAAACGTTTACACAGTAAACCCTTTTAATATTTAAATATCATATTTGCACGAGAGGAAATTAATAACTGTTATTAGTTTTCGATTATTTGTATAAAGGTTTTATTTGTTAATTTATAATTCAAAAAATGATTTTTTTTTCGAATCTCTGGTGGTTGGTTTTTATAATTTTTTTTCATATTTATACAAAATTAAATAATATAACATTTATAAATAACATAAATAAAATGTTGTAAAAGGGTGGCACGTGAGTTAATATTTGATATCGAGTTGAACACACATGTGTGTGAAAATTTCAAAAAAGATATCTCTTTTGAAGTATTTCCGTAATAATTTTATAAAAATAGTGGAAATTTAAAAAATATGTTGTGCTTATATCATATTTTTGGCAACTTAAATATTAATTTCTTTTATAAGTAATTTATAGTTTCAACTTAATTTAGCATATATTTTTGATAATCCTTTCAGACTGTCGGTACCAGAAACGGACTGGCTCACTTTGCTAATGTGATACAGCGCAGTGGACCGGTAATTATTGTGCTGACGGCCGAAAATCAGTCAAACAGAGTACTTAGAAAATGCTGCGAATTAACAATTTTATTTATAATTATATTTCATGATTACATTGAGATTTTCAAAAAATTTGTATCAAATGAAAGAGAAATACCTCAAGTATTTGTATAATAAATATTATTTTGATGCGTTCATTTTTAATAAAGTCAGGACAGTTTTAAGATAAAAATCGTAATTTTTAATACGGTTTGACCTATTTACGGAAAATGAGGAAATATTTTTCAAATATTAAGGGCAATGTTTTCAATTAGTTACGATTTGTGATCTTTTACAGTATCGTTGAAAGAAATCGGTTCGGTGAAAGTTAAGAAAATGTAATGACAGGTCCAATAATAATAATAAAAAAAAAATCATCATAGTAAATTCAATACATTTTCAGTTTCGAAACCAAAAAATAATTGTAGGAGTCTGAAATGATACTCAGTTATAGGCTTGACGTAAGAATACCAAACACACAGCTTGTGTAACGCAATTTTATAGAAGTATTGATTTCAAATATATATTATTTTTAAAATCTCAAAAATTCCCGTAAAATAGCAGTTTCTATCAATAAAATTAGATTAGCGTTGACCTCGAATAAAGTTCATCAAGTTGCGTATAAACTTTTTTCTTGATACTTGAATAATAATTAACACAAAAATATGTAAACTATTATTAGTTTACATATGTTTAGATTGTAAAAATAGGCTACTAACCTATTTTATTATTTTAACTTGTTTAAAAAAAAGAAAACAATCATTGATATAGTTAAAACATCTCGGATTTCAATATAAATTGTACTTTATTCACTGACATTTTTTTCTTAATTGAATCATCCATATTATTCTGCTGTACTACTAATAAGTTAATAAAGCATTTAAGTGTAATTATACATGTATAACTGTTATAAATTCTTATATTTGTTCATTTTATATTGTTATCAAGAAAAATAAATATTTGAATAAAATAATAATAATAATAATAATATATTTCATATTGTTTTACATTTTACGGAATTGAATTACATATTATAATTTTGTATAAATATTTATGAATTAATTACTGACTAGAAATTATGTAAAAATACAAATTTTTTATAGTAATCAAGTCTTGTAGTTGAGAAATACTCGATTAGAAATACCCGTATTGAATTTTATAGTAAATTGTTATTACAAAATATGTATTATACATGTTCTAACTTATATTTTGAATTTAAAAAAATCTAAAATTTATCTACAGAATTGATATCGAAGAACTTAAAATAATCATTTGGTTATTTTTGAGTTGAGTGACTTTTAACAAATTTACGAATGGCCCATAAGGTAATATTACTACTTTTTAACCCAAAAGGAATTATTTATATTCAATCAATAATTCAGTCACTATTGATTTACTGTATTTTGTTATTTAGTAAGTAATCGCCGTAACTTTATATCTATAAAATTATTTTAAGCGTTCCATGAGAATTTACTAAATATTGAATTAGTCGAGGAGCGATGCCAGATCAGCTTAGTGTTAATTTAAAATTTTAAAATTATTTATTTTGAACGTGCAAGTATAAAATTACTATTTGTCTTATTTTTGTTGAGTGTTAAATTATTTCGATAAAGACTGTACTTTGCTTACTATTCAGACATTTATATTTATATTCAGATATTCAAAAGCCTTAATATTTCTGACGTGCTGAAATCAAATCCCCACACGCTTCTCTGTTCGTCGACAAATGTTTTCACTCTCTGAAAATAACACTTTTATATATTTATTTTATTTCATGTTCGGAGACGTTCAATAAACACAGCTAGACAAAACTTGGCTTGTAAATGTTTATTATTGTTTTTGTTTTCAATAAATTTTTTGATGTCTATTTTAAAAATGTCCTCAGTTTTACCGTCAATATTTTAGCCACAACTTGAGTGATTATAACAATACAGTTTATTCACATAAAAAGTAAATTAAAAAAAATTGTTTTTTTCAATACCCTTTAATTATGTTATGGTATCATAATGCTAACTTGTGCATAGGTTGAAATGATTCCTTAAAGTTTCACCTCTGGTATAGACTTATGAAGATTAGTTTTATAGTTTTTTTCAATAAAAGTAAAACTTTTCTCTAAAACTTTTCTTTATTCATGTTTATGTTGGGATTATTTTTATATCAAGAGAAAATGTTCTGAAAATTCAAAAAAATATTAATATATTATTCATTGCGTCACTTTTAGTAAATATAATCACTGTAAATGTAAAAAATTCTTCAAAAGTCATAAAAAATCGTAATAACTACAATTTTTTCTTAAATTTCTTAACATTGATAAATTTAGTAAAAAATAATATAGAACTATATATTTTTCGTGTTAGTATGCAATGATGAGGTTAGATTTTTAAAATTACAACTAATTTTAATTAATTATAGTAAAAAAACCCACTAAAAATAGTCGAATTAAACATAAAATGAAAAATAAATTCATATTTCGCATCAATTATTTAAAAAATGGCATTATTACGTACTAAACTATCGATAAATAGACACAAAATAGTTTTTGTACCATTAGAGAATTGGTTACGAGGTACTCTCGTAATAGTATACTGTACTTTATACTGTTCGTCGGATGTGAAGAAAACCGACTGATCATTTTAATGATTGCTAATATTTTATGATAGATTTATCAAAAGAACAAAGTAGTCAGAGGTCGAAAAAATATCGTGTATTCTAATGAGTAGCCCAGTGCTTCATAGTATTATTTTGTCCATTCCTTTTTCTATGTATCGATTGCGTAAAGTGAGATAGTTGGAAAAATCAGCATTGCTTTTTTATTAATTGCTGTAAAACTCAACTATAAAAATAGGAATTACGAAATGATTTGAAAATTAACACAAATTATCATCACGAAACTATAAAAATGATTAAAGAGCATTGAATTGTTAAATGTATATTTTATGTAAAATATCAGTAATTTCAAAAAAATATTCAAATTGTGACTAAAAATTAATAGAAAATAAACGATATGGGCATATTCCAAATCAGCGTCAAATTTCCCATCAACACAAAAAAAATAATTTCATGAACATTGCATAACTCAAATTTTTTTAAGCTATGAAATAACAAAAAAATGTTTCTTGACATAAATTCGTTATTCAAAAAATAAAAACGGAAATATGTTTATTTTTATAACATCCGAAATTGCTTATTGATTTTCACACTTTTAGGTAACAACTCAAGAAAAGTTTATGAAACGAATTATATTCGATTTACAAAGTTAAATTCTTTATATACAGTTGTGAATTTTTAATAGGAATTCTTATATAAAGAAAGGAGTTGGCGGGTAACTAATGAAGGAGTTTATTACGTTGAAATATGTATTGCTTAAAAGGTTGGATATTAATTCCATGATGGATGCGAGTACAATGAAATTCATTTGTTTAGAATAGTTTAATCGTGGAATAATACAACAATAATTATCATTGTTATTATTATTGCACAATTAAATTGTGAATAATTATTGTTCACTAAATGTGGTTACTTAGCTGAGTCCTTTGTCTGATTTTAAATATTCCAAGTGGTAGTAATAGCTATTATTTTATTTTGCATATAATAGTCATGCCCGTTAACAAAATTTTAATTTTAAATTACATGACTTATGGTTACAAAAGTAGTTTAATTTTTGATGTGTTATTTTGAAGAAAAATAACTATTTTCTTAAGTTTGTATTTCAATGGATAGCCCGAGAAAAATTAAATTTCATTGTTCACTTTAACACCCAAAAAATTGTTATGAACATAATTGTTATTAATTTTATATATCTAAAGTGTGTTTGATATTAAATTTTTTAATTGTAAAGAATTAATTCTTTTAATTATAACTTTATTTTATAACACAATGTACATTGTGATTATACAACTTTATGGTATTATACTTATATCGTAAAATATACAAGATATAATGAAAGGTTTAATGGAAACTGATGGAGTACTGGAGGGTATGAAATTTCAATCTATCTTTTTAATACTATTAAAAATATGCTTGTTTTAAATTTTTTATGTTGTAAATTTGACAGAAGACATTACACAATAATGATATAAATGTTTCCTTTTCCATTATTATTATTTTTTAACGTCTATATAGTGTAGAATTTTATTATAAATATATCTAGAAAATTTCTGCATAGTTTTTATTTTAACAGTTGACAGTTTGTTTGTATGATAATAATAAGAAAAATACATATTAATGCCTCATAAAAATGTAGTAGGTATTGTTATATGTCACAGATTTTAAAAATAATTGCAGTGTTCTTTTGTTTAATATTAAATCTTTGTATAACTGTAATTAAAAAAATTCTTTTATAAATTTTCAACTACTAAAACTATAAAATATTTTATATTAAGATATAGCAATGCCCTATTATTTCTATGAAGTTGGCTACTTAAAAAACGCTTGTCTAATTAACAAATACTAGAAGTTTTATGTATTACACCATTTTAATTAATGAGTACAAATAGGAAAATGTTTTGAGTATTTTTTTTTTTTGTGTACTCTGAACTCCTATAAGTTGGTATATTAAACGATGTTTCCAAAATATAACTAAACAAATTGCAATTATAGTGTCTTTTATATTTTGAAGTATTTGTTTGCATTAAACAACATAATAAATCCTAGTGCGGCTTATATAGATTCACTTGGCAATGTAATACATTGCTATTTAAATAATACATTGTATTTGTTGACATCATTCAATGTTATCTGAACTTACAAAACATTCACTTAAAATCTATTATGTCATCAGAATCAATGAATGTAATATAAAATAATAATTTGTTAAATAAAATTATCTTTCTACAAGCGATCTTCTAGAATCACCAGAATGTCAACGCCGCGAACCCAAGTCATTGGGGTAGAACCATGATCCATTCATTTTACAACCAGTAATATCCAATTTTTGTGATTAGTAAGTATGAACAGTGACATGGTCTTTAGGCTCTCATAAGCAAAAATCCTAACTATGCCACTTAGCATTACTAAACTAAATTCTACAATGCATAGACTTTAAAAAATAATAATAATGGCAAAGGTAACATTTATATCATTATTATAAAATGTCTTCCGTCAAATGTACAACATAAAAAACAAGCATATTTCCAATAGTATCCAAAAGATGGATCTCCAGTATTCCATCAGCTTCCATTAAACCTTTCATTATGTCTTGTATATTTTACCATCCAAGTATAATACGGTAAAGTTGTATAATCACAATAAATATAGTGTTATAAAAAGAATTCATTCGAGAAAAGTTGGATTGAAGTTAAATTAAAAATAAACTAAGAAAAATGAATGTTGAAACTGAAACGCATTCAACTATTATATTGATTATAACTAAATTAAATCTTTAATTAAACTAAGTTAATTCTTAACAGTTAAAATAGGTAATATCAAACACACTTTAGTTGTATAAAGTTAATGACATTGAACAATTAAGTTCATAACACATTTTTCGGTTTTAAAGTGAACTAATAAAATGTAATTTATCGCCAAAAATCTATAAGGTATAGAATTAAGTTTGTGAGTTTTTAATTTAAGTAGGGACAAAGAAAAGACAAGAGACTGCCAATAAAAAGCAATTCAAGTAAATTAAGTAGATCAGTAACGTTTGTGTTAAACCAATTAACTTGGTCCAATCTCTGAATGGGTTTTCTATGTCGTCATTAACCTTAAACACTCATTTCCATGATAGCGAACTCAATTGTAGTTCCTATTCTACTCGAGGTATTTATTAACACAACTATATAGTTAATCTTTTTGAAAAACTCTCATATTCACACCCTGAGAGATAATAACATTTTAAACACTCACTCAAAACCCAATACCATTATTTTATGTCTTTCTTTTTGAATTACTGTACATTTTAATGTTTAGGAAAATAATATATTTAATAATTAGAATATTATGATGTCACGCAGTTGTATTTCAAAATCAATTACGACTTTTATAGTTATAGTTATTTATAGTTGAAGGGGTTAAATTGTATTAGTTTGATATCGTGGCTTACAACATATTTACAAATTATACGCGTTGGCGATAAATAATTTCTATAAAGTTATGAAAAAAATGAATATAAATTGAATTTGATCAAATAAAATATAATATTATAGCTATTTCTCTTAATGTTTAATTTTTTGGTACACAGAAGAAACGAATTAAAAATTACGGAGAACCTAAAAATGAAGTCATAGTAGATTGGGTCATGTGCCAAGTACCCTTACCATCAAAATAGTATAAACTTCTCAGAGAGCTTTCCGTTGTAATAAATTCAATTTGAGGCTTTCGTCTGTCAATACTTATAAATAATCGCATGTATTATTTTTATTTTTCTGTTTACACAGAGAATGTGACATGAGTGAGTAATTTTTTTTTCAACACGAATTAAGATTAATTGATCCGAATATTAGTAATTGATTTGTGAATTTATGTTACAACAAGCGATGGAAAATTCTTTTGTGGATTAATTGTGTATAAACAGTAATATAGCCATCATAAAATCTATGTATATAATCATAATTCTAAACATGTTTACTCCTCATCACCTTTCCACTACTTGTTTTTCAGGTCGAAGCGCAAACGCACACACTAATGACGTCCCAGTGGGGTACTGCCACATACTAGTACAGGACAGAAACTTATGGTTTACAATTTCTATAGTGGTTTGCGAACATGCACACTAGGGAAAAAATCATAAAAGTCATCGTTGACCTAAAACGACATCAATAACCAGTGTTATTTAGTAATTATAGATAATTGCATCATCAACGAAAAACAACTCGCTTCTAAATGTAAGGGTCATCATAAAATAACCATCACATGTCCGGAGCGAATAACTAGAAAGACAAAAGAGAGATTTTGTTAGCAAGGGCCGAATAATTTAAGAAAATCTATTTTTACATTAATTATAAAATCACGAAAAATTCAAATTAATTGAATTTAAATATTGTAAATTTAGATTTACTGCTTTAATAACTTTTCAGTAACTCATGTACAACAATTAAAATGAAAATATAACCAATTTTTAGTTTTATAACAATATTTTATGTTTACATGGAAAATTTTACTTTTATTAAACAGGCAATTAACTTATCACATTAAATTCGTTGATTCCTCCACATCTTCTTTACCTTCCCATTGGAAAGGTATTCTATAAAACAAAAGTAATCGCAGTTTTCGATAGAATAATTTAAAAATGAAAACTACCCCCTTTTAATTGTGGACATGGAAATAATTATACGCACTATATAATAAACAGGGTGATTAATTTATTATAAACCAATAATTCATTCATTTATTTATTTATCAATTCAAAAAAATGATATTGAGAAATTTTTTTTTTATTTAATTCACATACATGTTTATCTCAATTTATCAATTATACTGTATTTTTTAGTTTATCCCTTATACCTCATAAGAGTGTCACCGTTATTTTTCAAATGGCATCATACATAATTTACTAGCCTATTAAATATATAACTAAAAATATGACTGGTCGATAACCACTTTTCGGAAGGTATTATTATTTTTTTTTTAGTGATGGTTGGAGATTAAACGAGGAAGTTGTTATTTTTATCACTGATCATTTCTTTGCCGCACTTTCCGTAACTCTAAGGTAAAAAAGGATCAATATCTTCCGAAATAATATTACAAAATTCGTTATTGACCAGTAATTTTTCTTATTCAGATCATTGTCTATTAAATAAATCAGTTATTGTATGTTGCCGTTGAAAAAAAATTAAGTTGAATCCCTTATAATAATATTTTTTGATTAATTAAGCGGTTCATAATAAATGAATGACCCTGTATATGTCTAATATACATATCGATAGAATACATTGTATAAATGGTTGTGTACTTGAAACATTTTGCTATATTTATTTTAATCGCAGGCAATAAATAAGATTGTAATTATGCCACGCTAGTTCTATAGTTGTTTTAAACAAAGGACCGTACTGTGTTAGTTGGTTCTCGAGTTTGACAAAGTCACAAATCCCTTAGGGATGTTTTGATGTAAATACTGTACATAGTAGTGAAAGTGACGGATCACTTGGACTTATAGTCTGTGGTAAACTTTTATCTATCAAAGTTATTTAAGCGTAATCGTACAGCGAACCTAAGGAAAACTTTCAAAGTGTCCTAGAACAGCATTGGAGGAGCTTATTTGACTAATAACATTTCTATGCACCGCAAGAAATTATCCGAAAATTCCGATGCGTTAGTATGATATGTTTAATACACATGTTAGTTTTGCTCATGAATGTACTCTTAAAAAAATGTCCGAATTTTCATAGACGTGTACTGGAAGTTATAAATGCATAAAATGTTAGGAAAATAAATCTTGATAAAAATGTTGTATTTGCGTACAAATGTTTGACAGAATAAATCGAAATCACACAACTAATGCGAAAACTTAACGTTTGTATTAAAAATATCATATTGACGATTTTTCAGATCATTATTTACAGTGTAGTATAGTTTTGTTGTAAAGTTTTAAAATTCGTACACAAATACAACATTTTTATTACTGTTTATCAAAATTTTTCCTTGCATTACATACCTCGAAAATTTACATTACATGTAAGTTTAAATTGGGACATTTTTTTGTCAATAGTGTACACTACCGACATCCTATCTTTCAAGATGCACCTCACAAAAAGAAAAAACTTAATAGTGCTGTTTTTTTCTTATTCTGACAATATCTTGTTTTCTATTGTATACTACAAAAGAACCAAAGAAAATACATTAAGTACAAATAATACACATCATGAATACTGATTAAATTTAAATGCGCTGTTTTACTGTGCTTTTATTGGTTTTTTAAGTTTTACAGTGCACTTTATTGAAAAGAAGCAATATTATTCTATCGGATCCAATAAATGTGTATATTTTCGTTACATTTTATAAGACTTGACCTAAATTTATTAATAATGTATCTATTTTACACATTTTTTATTTTTATTCCTCAAAAGCAATTATACACTACCGATAGACACTTGTATTTATTGCAAATATTTTCCCAAATTCGGGCTGCACAATTTATTTTTAGTTTTATTTAATTGAAAAATTTGCTTTATTCCATTTTCGAGTTCAATTAAAAATGATCATTGAAATGAAAATTATTTTTATGTTTCAGTTACATATTATTTAGAATATTTACAGATAATTTCAGTGGCATAACCAGAATTTCATAATGAGGAGAAGGGTTCATAGAAAAAAATCTACAAAATTCCTTATTTTGAACTTTTTTTTTTTTGCTCATTTTAACTGTCAACGGGCTCCCAGGTCCATCTTTGGCTACGTCACTGGATCCATCTATCTCTTAAGTTTTGTGCCGTTTTGAACTCGTCACAGAGTTCATCTTTGGGGTGATTGTTATTGGTTAAAGTAGCGTCAGATTGGTGCAAAAATACTACCGAAATTTTCACCTAAAGAATTCGATCACATCTTTTGATATTTTTTCTTTCATTTATTGTTCACTTTAAAAATTGGTTTTCATATTTACGAAAAAGACCTAGAGGATCCCAACTATCTCTCTCGCTATAAAATCACGGTAGTGGAGTGTAAAGTTCCCAACTATTCATATTTTTTCTAAATTATTTAAATCAAATTATCAATAATAATTATTGTTATTGATTGTCAAAACAATAAAATAAAATAGAAGTATTTAAAGGAATACTTATTTGAACAATTTTTTATTAAATGCATTAATTTTTAGTACATGTTTTCTTATTATTTTTATAACAAAAAGTACTAGCTAAACTATAAATTGGTTGGCAAACTTCAGCCAACTGGTATTGTGTCGACCAAATATATATTTGTATAACCAGTTATCTATCAACAATCCAAGTTCAGGAATCATTTTTTTAGTTCACGTAAGCGTCGTTTGAATTCATTTTTTGTAGTTTCAATTGGTTTGAAAAATGAGTTAGTATTAATTGTTTATGTGATGAAATTGTGAAATAAACTTTTCATACTGTGTTCAGTGAACACTATCCATGTTACAACAAATTTAATTAAATAATTATTTTTAAGCTTCTAACTTGTTAAAAACTTTTTATTGTAAATCTTAACGTAAAAAAATATTAAAAGTTTTTTTTCGAAGAATAAATAAGAATTTTTAGTACCAATCACAGCGAGAAATTTTAAACTTAATTGATGTAATTGTTCAGACAATTTTCAAAAACACTTCAATTATATTACTTATGGATCGAGGTATTTTTTTAATTACTGCAGTAAAATACCTATTAAAATAATGATTAATAAAAATACGTCTCTTTATTTAAATTTTGTTTGGTAATTTTATACTTTGAAATTGATGATGATGTTATGACAAAAAAAAATTGTATTTATCATTATTTTGTACAAAATTAGGACAAATTTTTGAATATAGGATTTTATTTTTACTCTAAAGTCAAAAATACTTGATTAAATATTATATAATAGTAAATCTCTCACAAAATATTTTAACTCTATTTTATTTAAATTGTATTAGGTAATGAAAAATTTTCTAACTAACTTATCAATTTTCGATTAGTTAAAAACTACCTTAAATACTTAAATGGCATATACAGAGTTATTGTTTATCTATGACTCACAAAAGATCTAAGAAAATAACTGGCCAATAATGACTTTTGGACCAATATTTCAAAAGTTATTAACAATTTAAAGTAATGATTGGAGGTGAGGTGCAGGTGCACTGCCAGGTTTAGTTTTAGATATTGCTTGGTCTCCCCTCCTTCCATCTAGGTACAAAAATGTTAAATAAATGAATTAGTTAATTATGTATATTGACATTTGAAAAAATAATGTGATATCTTTTAATGATGAAAATATAAAATACTTTATGATTTAAATATTAAGAAAAAATGTCATTAAAAGGAACAGATATAGAAAATTGTCAATTTAAATATATTATATAAATTTAAATATTTATTTACTAAAAATAAGAAAAATAAAATAAAAACTATTATTCATAATCCTAGATACAACTTACTAAATATATTGTACTTGCAAACAAAAGTGGATAAGTATACCGAATAATGCAAGAGCATAAATCTTACAAAAGAATGTCTTAAAAAGGTTAAAAAGATTATCAAAACAAAGCACACGGGAAAAATTCGAAGGATCTAATTATGCTTTGTGTGCAGTTTTGTCATAAATTTAGTAGCATAGACTATACATATACTACATAAATTAAATTAAACCATTAATTAAAAATATTTATGAACGCAAATTACACATTGTGGCTTTGTTAAAAATAGAAAAATTATCTTGATAAATATTCCTGAAAGTTATTCCCTGTTTTAATTTATCAATTTTTTGACGAATTTTTACGTGAATATATTATGAATTACAGAATAGTATATGGAAATTGTCCAACTAGTGGCAAAGCGAAATTTTTATGAAGAGGATATCGTCAATAAACAGCCCGCAATTATGTAATGTATAGATACATTGAAATATACATATCAACATCAATAATATCGATAAACTCATAGAGTAGTATGAGTTTTATTTAAATATATTTGAATAAAAAAATGAGAATTAATTTATGAATGTAACTGCTTCCGTACGAGTAGTACTGTGTAAACTACTCCAGTAAATGGATAACGAAACGATGTGAAGTTGAACGTGTGTTTGACGTGTTTCATCCCATTTGTCATATCAAAAACAACCTAAAGGTTGCACGTGAGAGAAGGATCAGTAGCATTAGTAACTGATGAGTTGGGTGAAATATTATTTTTGCACGATAAATTTTCTATGAAATATGTCACAGAAATTTTGATGGTATTCGATGTCTTTTCATTAAGTTTAAACGGTCGACAAATGACGATAAAGCAATCGGTTTTGCTTTCTAGACTTGGAAATGTATTTTTATGATAAGCGCAAACAGTGTTTTTAACTTGAGATTTCTTAACTTCCAATTTTTTCTCGCTCTGATCGAAATAATGTACCATTATTTTTACCCTTTTTTATTGTTTATTTACAAATATACAATTATGTATAACTTAATGCATATACATTTT